ATTTCAAGTCCCCATTTCTCTTTTCCATTAACTTTTTTTCTCACACATTTTTCACGGACTCGCTCACTCGCCCATTACTCCTAACGATGTTTCAATCACAAATTTTCTAAGATTCTAAGCCATTGTTAAACCAAGCTATTTTCGGCTCGCCAGAAATACTATTTACGGCGTCAAATCCGTAAATTAGTCAAATGTGAGTATATAGAGGCCTGGATATGGGCCAGGACAATAACTGAAATAGCCTAGATCGCTGCTAGACGCGGTCAATGGGTGGTGAGTGACATTATAATAGGAAGTGTGTCGTTTATAAAGTTTAAGTAAGAGTAAGAGAATTCGTTAACGATACTTAATTAATTTCAACACACGGTTTTACTTTTCTCCCCATATAAAAAAAGCTTTGCCCAGATTCTTCACTTCTTCTTCACGCCGATGTACGTGTATTTTTGGGAGCGCACAACATTGTACTGTTACGAGATAAGGGCTTACCAGATATCTGGTAAGAGGCGTGCACCATTACAGTAGCCACGATTCCAATGAGTCCGCCGCTGATCTCATCCCTTGAATTCGACCCTCTGCTAGGATATCGTATTCTAGCAGCTCAAGCTGACCCTTTTCATTCTCCACCATGCGATTGATAGGATCCGATATCGACATGGTAACCCGAACACACATGTGCTTTGTCTAAGCCTGGATGCGCGTGTGATGCGTATCGCCTATGGCGCTTACTCTGGTTCTCGCTCACATTGGTTGATTGCGACGGCTCTATTCTACCACAAGACTTTGCGCCTCAGTAGTTCTTGCGCACCATTACCATATGGTGGACGCAGTGAGAATTACTTTCAAAATCACGCGCGGACTTCCAACACTTCTCCCGGTGCATTCGGTTCGCACTGAGTAAGCCCAATTCACAAGAGTAGCTCTGAAAGGTAAGATCGTAGGAAATAAAGAGAGTATAGCTAATGGCTTCGATGTCAAACGCGCACCAGACGCGTTTCGACCCTTCGCCGGGAGCTCGTCAGTGGCTTTATCAATCTAGAAGTGATATCTTGCTCTATCCTGCGCTCGACGACGAAAGACCTTCTAGAACTTAGTGCAAACACACCAATAACCCACTATAACTATCAAACCTGGCAGCTGGGGCGTCGGCCCGAAAGGGAGTGTCCGCTATGACAACCCCACTTCCAACAGCGTTGCCTTCAGCTTCTTTATATGGAAGTCTGACGGACTGTCCTGCGTGCTGACGTACTCAGCCTTAAGTCGAACGTCTACACTCGCGCCGCGAACAAAATCCAGTTTGACGTCGACGTGCTTCTCCGATGCGCTTGACGCTTCATTCTTGATCTGTCGTATCGCTACTTTGTCGTCGATCCTGACATACATTGGCTTCACCTCGTCGATCTGCAACTGTAAAGAAGCTCGTGGAGCCCAAGCAACTATTGACCTCCTTTAGACGCGACATGGACTCTGCATTTGCCACTGAAAGCGCCGTTCCACTCGGTTGCTGACTGTGCCATCCAACAGTCTCTCCTCCGATGAGTATGGTCGCCGTGCCCGCTGATTTGTGCAGTGTCTTATCCTCCATATAGTCGGCGTCAGTATGCGATGTAAGTGGAACCAATGGCCTGCATCATTCGCTATATGGCATGTGTAAATTCAGTGCCGATGCGGTTGCGAAGTGGCGTGAAATGTGCTTAGCTATCTTCATGTCACCTTACGTAGGCGGGCGCTCAGAGCTGTCACGCGCTGTCTTTGCACACACACCTTTGGGCACTTGCGAGAAAACGATATACCGTCTTCCTTCGCGTGCAGCAATGTTTGATAAAGCGTCTTTTGAATTCCTCACAGACAGTTGCACGCTTGCTGTTAGTATGGCTCGGACGCGGTTTTCGTTTCCCTACATACGCTTTCTAGCCAGGTTCCGAATACAAGACTAATTTCTATCTGATGAATGAAGATGAAATCTAAATGACTATTATTGACTACGGTACAAAGTAGCAGACGCGCAATCCGATAAAACACAGTCGATATATCTTTTCAAGCTTAGTATAAGTGCTTCGGTATAGTCAAGCAGTGACGCCATCCACACACACTCTTGTGGTCGGTATGCTGTTGTTGCACCTCAAATGCGTTATAGGTCCAAGTGCGTACCGCGTTCAGGAACAAAGTCAGACCTTTTCGTGTTGTTCCACGAAAGACACGTGTATCGGATTGACCCCCATTACACCCCTAGTCGGCGCATGCGTCTTCTGTGCCACACGGTGCACAGCGTACGTAATGTCTGGGAGCGCGCAACGCGCTATTCAAAGCAATCTTCCAGCAAGAGACTAGAGGCTCTCAATGATTGGAACAAATGGCGTCCTAGGTCACTTTGTAGTCAGCAGCTCGTAACCCTCACGGTCAACCCCATAAGCCTTTTATTTGCCGCAGGAAGACGTGCCACGATGTCCTTGCTGAGGCCTTGTTTTGAGCAGCAGCTCCGCAATGATGACCGCTTGGTCGAATGTGGTATATTTTACGCTCTAATCGACTCGCACTTCGAGACATCGCTTAGCAAAGCCTAGACCCTCAACATCTGGTCTTTGTTAGACCCTGTGATAAACATCTTAGCATGTCGCTCTTGTGCGGTGGCGATCCAGTCGTCAACAAATGTAATACAAGAAGAATGAATTTTGCTGGACGATATAAAACTGCTTTTGTGATCTTTATTTTCTCCTTGGAAACTTTCCGGTATCTCACACTACTCTATGCGGTATGTCCTGATCTCGCATTCGCGAAGTGTAGAATCTGTTCATCGATTCGTGAGTGCAATATTGATTATCTTGTAGTAGATTCTATGCTTGCGTCCTTTCTCGGTATCGTCGTCTGAAACTAAACCAGTTCCGCCATAACATTTAGCTTGTCGAATGCGTTCACTATCCTCCATCTCCTGTGTGTTTGCACTCACAGAACGTTGTAGACATATGTGGGGGTGAATATCATCACGTTACTCACTGGAATTGCATTACTTGCATAACAATCATTCGCCACTACGTAACGACTTAGTACTTCGAACACGGTTGCACGTCAATCTCATGAGGAGTGCCGTCGTTTCATTCGTTCATATTTTAAAGTGCAATTTTCCCTTAAAAATTATGAAGGTTAGTTATTTTTGCTTGTGTGAAGCAAGTTATCTTTTTATCAGCCGCATCAAGTTCATGTCGTATGAACTTGTCGACCGTGGTATCATATCAGTAAGTATCTAGGGACTATGACATGGCATCAAGGACTGACTCACGAACTACCGGACTCAATCGATCGTGTTCCGTTTACGTTCACTCGAATTAGAGACACCGTGGAGCACGGCCTGATAATGATCTTAAGCTAACGCTTACATGGTGATCGATAAAGTCGTGATCATGAGACGGACCGCAAAGTGCCACAACTAGGTACAACGAAGCTTTTTTCACTTATCACTGTGACAGTATATGCTAACTCATCGGCTAAAGTATAGGTAAATACCTCGGAATTTTCTTGTGCCTAAATATGTCGAGGAAGCACGGTCATACAATCGCTTGTGCTTAGTTGAAACGAGAATTTGGTTCATTGCGGGTTGGTTATGCGATACACTATTTTCTCAAACAAAGTCTGATTGGCGATACTACTGATATGTATGTTGACAATTTGCTCACCGCTCATCGCACGCGTCTAGCAATGCGTGATGGTTTATTGGCTGATAGTAAGGCCTGTAAAAGCCAATGTGTAGTGTAATATCAAGCACGAGAATTGTTACCGCCAACGATGCTTTTCCTTTCTAGTATCAGCTACGGTGACATTATTCTATGCTAAGTGTAAAGAAGATGTTGCTTGGGTTTATGCGCATATCTTACACTTGGGTGTTCGCAAAGGGAAAGTCTTTGAGATTATTTACTGAAAGGCAATGTCTACATAATCAATATAGGTAATATTGTTGGATATTGTCTCCAAAGAAGCAATTTTGGAATAGCATCCATACGGGGACAATGTCTACATATAACCCGCCTTGATATTACGATGAGCATATTCCAAAGATGGATAATGTTTGAATATAATCCGCTGAGAATATATAATAAATGATTCGCATCGACAGCACGGTGGATATTATTCACAGAGAGTACTTTCTTCGCCGTTAAAGCACGGCCAATGTGTTGAGACAATCCGCAATAAAATTACGGTCGATAGTTTCTGCAAAGAAACAAAATGTGGACAACAATTGCAACGATCGTGCGATGCACATACTTCACTTCTTTATGCCGTATTTACAAAGGGAAAACTCTTGGCATGTAATGGCGATGATGTGTGTGTATTTAGTATCCGCAATGATAGAGCGCGTATGGACTATCCGTCATGTGATCTTTACATTGCGATTCATTGATATCGATGTTGTGATACGGCGTCATCTTAGTACACCATCGGTGTAATCGTAGGTGCACCCACGACGGCCTTCGTGAAAGCACTGAGCCACATTACCACCACATGCAATTGCCATGCGACGTTTTCAGCGTCACAAAAGTGTGGCACATCGTTCTCTTCGATGCACTATCGTGTGCAGCCCACTGTATCCACCACGCATTAAGTCGGACGCATTGTCTGCCTTTCCACAGTGTCATCACTTGCAATCAAACAATGTGCATATCTTGGCCCCTATTGGTCTCGACACCCGACTCAAAATGGTCCGTATACCCGACTCGTAGCACGAATTGGCTGTCCGGTAGCACAATTTTGCGTTTCTCAAGCCATTTCACGGAAGCTCAGTATCTGACGCCGTTGCTGTCGTGTCACCAAAGTTTGTCCACTTCCCTCCGGTTCAGTTGTCGCACGTTTGTACGTACTGTATTGTACGTACCGCCGCTAGAGCGACTGTAGCCATATCCGTTTTTACTTACCGGAGCTGTCCGCTCGTCGTCTCAATTGCGTCGTTTCTATTCGCGTTTCTAACGGCCGACATCGAAACAAAACCCCGTCTGCATTCCTGTAAGCACCGCATGACAAGCGCCGACGCGGCGGCCGTTCGCCACACGCGTGTGGTTCGCGGGGGTCTCACGTGGCCGGCAGTGCGTGGGGCGCGTCTGCTGAATGCACTGACGCCAATGAGCTGCGACGGAAAGGACAACGGAGAAGAAGAAGGAGAAGAAGAGAGAGACAGAGAAGAAGAAGAAGCGAATCGAAACGACCAGAGGGGAGCACGGGACTGTCCGTATGAAGTTGAGCTGTGCGTTCCTGCGGCCGGTCACGTGGCTCTGGTACTCGTGAGACGCACGTCGGCTGTGCCATTGAATCCGTCGGCACGTCGCTGCCATACAACGACGTCGTCAGCTCCTGCCCCACCAACTCCAGCTGATCCACGGGTGGTGTATGTGCTGGATGCTCTTCCGCCCTCCAGTTGGGGACCTCGGGACGACAGGACGCGGACACGAAGTGCACAGAGGGCACAGTCGCTGCTGCAGCAGGTGGACGAGCTGGAGCTGCTGCAAGAACTCTTTGCACCTCAGACACGAGCTGCTGGGGGCAAAGACGGCAGTGTGTTGATCAAGGCGCCGCTGCTGTGTGCTCGATTTGACTGCCGCGTGGTTTCGATTCGTTTTGTCCAGAGTGAAGCAAAGCATTATTACGAAGGACTGAGGAGATCTCGTCGAAGAGAAGGCAGCAAAGGCCTTGGCGATGCGTCGGCGTCTTTTCAGTCAGCACCGTCGTCGCGAGAAGCAGCTACGTCCTCACGAGTGGTCAGCTCTGCATCCCCACTGCGATGTGTTGTAGCAAGGGAAGATGGCATGGCATTTATGTGGGAATGGCAGGCGGATCTGTTTCAGTGGGTGTTTCTGAACAAATTGTGCTTTTTAGAGAACCCAAATTTGAAATGGACGCGACCCGTTGTGGCGTTCACGACAAGTGATATACCGCTAGACTGCAAGATGCCGGGCTCAAGTTTGGGCACCAGAAGCAGCAACGGAAACGAAATTGGTCCGAGCGGCGGGACGGAGTTTGTTTGGTGGTCAACAGCAACGAAGCATGAGCCCAAGCTTAAAGTTCGGCGACTGCGTTTTGAGCGCGCAATTGATGCACTTCGGGCGACGGATGTCGTTGTCGGGAATGCGTTCGTCCCGAAGCCTCTCTGTCATGACGTTGTTCAGCTACTAAGCTCAAAACTAGGACTTTTTGTGGTTTCGCGGTCACAGGGGGTTTTCTTTCGCAGCTCGGTGGCTTCACTCAAGACTGTGACAGTGGACTGGCATGAGGTGTTTTCGCTTGATAAAGCAGCCGCGACCCCGGAAATGTCCCAAATGATCATGTGTCTGCACAGCGTGACTGGCGAACTCGTGATTTTGCATCGGAAGTCTGGAGAAATCTATATTGTGACACCCAAGTCTCCAAACATGTCCACTGTTTCCAACAGTGGAGCGCAGGACAACGAATCGTGCACATATCTTTTCGCACGGAAGATCACGACGTTAGCACGGTGGCAGCAGGACAGTAGTGATGCGCTAAGCGGGGATGACCAGGCATTTGGTGTGATCGACGTTGTCGCACACCGACATATCTTTCTAGTGCTAACTTGCAGTCTGCTTCGCGTACATATGCTGATCACTGGGGAACTTCTCGAGACAGTAAGCTTACCGAATGCGTTAGCTCGCTCTCCCCAGCGACGTGCGGAAGGCAACAAATGCAAGTTCTGGACGATCCCAGGTAGTGCGAGCTCCGTAGGGTTATGGGCTCCATGTGGCTTTTGGACAATCCGGTTGCCTAAGGCAAAGGCAGTTGCAGCTGCATTGCATCAACCGCAGTCTGAAAAGCAAAGAGGCCAACGTGAGTTTCCCGAGGCGGCATTCTTAGCAGTGAAGGACTACGGCATGGGTGACTTGCATCTGGATGCGGTGCGTTATGGTCTTGACATTTTGGCGAGACTGACTCCTTCGGCAATGGATCTGTCTCAAAGCCATCCCGAAGTTTGGGAACGAGTATGGAACACTGTGTCAAGTCCGGCTTTAGTCTTGGCTCTTCTCGACAATCGAGCTGAGTCTGAGCACGTTGTCCGTGAGCTTACGCAGCACGTAGCATCGGTCTATGCTGCTGCAAGGCGCATCCGTTCGCACGGCCGACTGAGTGGTTCATGTGCTCCAAGCGCTTGCGAGCACCACTTGCACAGGTTAACGCCTGCCAACCTAGAGTCGCTGCACCATCTCTCTAACTGGATTGTCCTGGCCAAGCGTAAGCTTGCTCGTCTGGGAGCAACTGGTGCGAAGACGCCGACGCCGCCAAATACTGAATCGTCTTCCGGGTGTTCTGACAACCGCCCGTACCCAGCGATGAGCAAGCTTACCGCTGTACTTGCAAACAGAGATGATTTGTCGATTGCACAGGACGAACGGCACAACATTCAACGAAAGGATTCGATATTGGACCCAGAGGATACGCGCAACTTCCGACTCAGCCGAAAACTGCGCCCCATGAGCAGTTTGCGCTTCGCTGCTGGTTGTGGTACAAGCTCGGAACGGCAAGGGCATCAGTGGCTTTTGCAGCTCGAGTCGTTCCTTCTAGACGGTGTTGCTTTCAAGAATGGACATCGATCGAGTGGAAATCGTCGTGTGATGCGAGCGGATACGGCGCCTAGTCACCGACTGTTCCATAGCGAGCGAGTGTTGACCGATTTCCGCCACGTTGCAGCGTCTTCATTTTCAAAGCACATGTACCTGGAATCTACGAGCCGCTTGTATCTACTGTATGAGCCTGCGTCACTGCTTCCGTTCATTCAGTGTGTCGACCGTTTCAGTCCTCGGCTCTTCTCATTGACTGGGCATCAATCTTTGTCTCGGTCTCGTGCAGAGCGAGCACTGACACTTTTTCCGCCTTTGGAGTTTTTCACGAACAAAGTGCTTCGAGCCAAGGAGCGCACAGACGGACAAGCAGCGAAGTCCTCGCTCTTAGCCTACGCTGACCTCTTGAGCTACTGCGACTACCACTCTGAAGCATGTAGAGCGCTTTTGCAATGCCACTTTTACGAAGAAAGCAAGCGCAAATTCTTGTTGCTACTGGAGAGTCTACAAGATGTGCGAGATCCCTGTGATGGCGAGCAGATGGAAAAGGCTCAAATTTGGACTGCTGCTTCGAAGGCTGTCTTCTTCATGATTTTGGAGTATTGCACCAGTCATTGTAGCTCCACGGAGCTGAATGCGGTGCTGATGCTGAAGCCAGCACATGTGGATATGCTGCTTGTACTGAGAGCAGTCCGTACTGCATTGTCTCGCAGGAAGCATCAGCAACAACGAGAGGACGATGGAGCGTGCGCCACCGGTCCGACTGTTGGGCACTTGCGGTTAGTGCTTGTGAGTCTGATGCAGCAGCGGCGCATGGGAGCGTCGATGTAGCTACTGGTGCCAAAGGGATGTCAGTGAAGCAAATCTCGCGCATGTCATGCTGAGTCAATGTGGAGTGAAAGGTAGCAATGGTGTGTGGGTGCGAGTCGAGAGTCAGTGTCTTGAGAACAAGGAAGACGATTGGAAAAAGGTATGCGCACGACTCGTATACAGCAGCCTGATCATGAATCGCTCACAATATCAAGCTTCAACTTGGGTATCATCTTGAGCTCTGATTCTTTGGTTCGTCACTTGTTTGAACGATACCGTTGTAGCTCAAAAGCACAAAACATAGTTTCACGTAAGCACGAACATCAGGAAGATATAACGTGGCGATTTACCAGTCTCACAAGGTACGTGTTCACTATTTCTCGCATAACGCGGTTGTATCTCGCACATGGCGTTTTGCTCCGGATATTTGCGAAACGCAATGAAATGAGATTGTGCTTCGTCGAAACCAATGTGGCTCGTATTACCCAAACAGCTTCTTATAAAATGCAAGAAATAAAGCAGCAAGCTCCAGTCATCTGACGGATCGATCAATTTATCTCTTTGTAGCACGCAAGAAGCCCAATTTACAATAAATGTTTTTAGCACTCAATGTTCTTATCGAGGAAATTAGAAAAAAGTGACGTCGATTGCTCGAACGGACTGTCAGTCAAGATTTCTACGTTCCGAACGTCGCTTCTTGCGCCTGCTTTTGTTAGGTATGAACCTTGTAGCATGCATGAACTTTGTATTGTAAGCTTTTCCCATCTGCGATGGTACGTCTTCGGCGTGGCGACAGAAAACCAAAGATCATGCTCAATGCTATTGCACATACGTTGACATGTGGCAAAAGTTTAATGTTTGCGTGCAGCGCATGTGTTCGTCTGGGTGAGGAATGTAGCATCAAACAACTTGACCCTTGTCTTGCCAGTTGCCACAGTGCTTTCTTCTTTGTAGAAGCTGTTCGCCTGGCATGAATGGACTACAAAACGGATGCAGAGACACGAGTAAGCCGATTATATGGAATGGAAAGCTAGTCGACTCGATTACTCCGGGTCATCATCGAGGTCAGGACTGCAACTCCCAGAGCACAAGTGCCACCGAGCGCTGTACCCACTCTTTTTTTGGGAACGCGGAATCATCTGCATTCACCGCCACGGAGAAGAACAGAGTTTCGCGCTTGCTGTTCGAGTACACCGGAAGCAGGCGAAAGTTGTCGGTTTCTACACTTTGACGTGCCCAACGAAGATGCAAAGCTGCCAGGCTGTTCCGAATTTCGTTCGACGGCGAGAAGCCGGTGGAGTCCCAACTGGCACCTTCGAGTAGTAATCCGCGAGCCGTGAAGCTACTACTTGATGAGGCCGACGAGCCATCGACATCGGCAAGCAAATGAAGCTCATCGAGTGAGCATCCAAGATCTGCCGCAGCACTTTGACGGGCGGCTGTCACAAAAGCTTCCGGCGAAAAGAATCCGCCAAGCCAAATGCCGCCAGCTTTTTGCAGAATGTCCGTTGGAGCGACTTGTGCCAATTCCTTCAGCTGGTGTATGCGTCTAGAGAAGTCCGTTAGCCACTCACTCAAGCTTAGCCCATCGGACACGTGATACAGCTGTTTCCATCGCTCAGGCACCTGCTCGCGATACAGCGTGCCCATGGCTTCTCGAACTTCATTCGAAGGTTTGGCCTTGTAAGCACATACTTGCTGCACCGTACGTAGCAAACCACCCACGTTACCAAGGAATGCTGCTCCGAGTTCCAGCTCACGGAACATGCAGCGATAGACTGGGTTGCCAAAGTGCACCGCATCGCGCACAGCAGGAACAGGCAGCTCTTCTTCGGACGGAAATAACTGTAGCCACACGCCGACACGGCGGTCCAAATCTTGTATCCACTTGGGGCGCACGTCTTCGCCATCGACAGCAGCAGTGCCGATTACCATCTTGCTCTCGTCCTCAGCGCCAGCGTTGTCGTCGCCACTCTCGCTCCCATAAAAGTCTTGCATTATCTGCAAATTGCGCAGCATGCGCACACCATGACTGATAAGCACCATTGTTTCGGCTGAGCGGGGAAGACCCATCCATGACGGTGGGTTCGTGGAGGGAAGAGAGAGAATCCAGTCCATGAACTGTGCCTTTGTCTTTCCCTCTGCAATCACTAGTCCATTATTCTTGCCGTTGTCAGAAGCAACGAGCTCGAACGTGTTCTCGTAACTGGCCGCCGTAAACACATGCTCCAAAAGCGTGTCCATGAGTTCTCGATCAAACGTGTTGTCGACGCGACCACCATAAACTGATTCCTTCAGTGTGGTTCGAATCGCTGTCCACGGGATGCTGTCAGGGGCGACGTGGGCGCGACCACAGGCCACTGAGTCCACCCAGCGGTCAATTACATCGCAAGCGCCGCGGAAGTCGGATTGACTGAACTCGTATGTTTTGGACCAGCCGATAGGGACAAAGCGCAATCGCTCGTGCACCAGCGCATGAAACCAAGCAAGCAGCAAGTACAACCGAGCACGTTCAGCTGGCGAGCAGTTCATACGCTCAGCCGTCACCGTGTCAAGCGTTCGGACCATACTCATTTTCATACCGCTGGGCGGCTCAAACACAAAGACATCGCACATGCGCACTAGATTCACCGGCAAGTTGGGGTTGATCTCGCTCGTCAGGAAGAGGCGAAAGTTCGGGTGCACGCTATCACGCGCATTGTAGAGCTTCTTTTCCACACTTACAAGCCATGATGGGCACAAATGGACATTGCGAAGCAGTAGCCAAGAGCCATGCTTCAATGCGGTGTTCAGACCTTTTTCGGCTGCGTCGAAACCCTCAGGTGAACCCATGGACACTGAGCTGTATTTCTTTCGCTGGGCAGCCGCGAGCTCATCGATCTGAGCACTTGGGTCGAATCCCGTCGTTGAACACAAAAGCACACCGCGTGCTGCCTGAGTGTCGTCTTCGACATTTTTGGACAGCTCGATATCACCACGCCATGGGAATGAAGCCGTGAACACCAGTTTGATGTATTGCTCAGATGCAAACATGATTCGATCAGGTCGTAGGAAGTGAATGATGATCATGTTTCGAAACGCAGCGAGACGAGGACTCGCCGAAGCAATGGCGTATTCGGTATCCCACTCAGCTGGAACGACATCTTCAGCCAACGGGGCTTTGACGAACGCGTTCCATTCAGCAGCGTGACCACGCACATGCGTCTCTAAATGCTTGAATGTTGGCAATCTCATCAACCGTAGCAATTGATTCATCTCAGTCGTCGAGAAAGCTGGCAGCAACTGCTCAAGCTCTGTGCGCTGAGTAGCACCGGTATCGTAGTTCGAGAAAGCTGACGCGCTTCCAAGTAGCAAGTTCACGTCCTCATCGGTAGGCCCATCGAACGCAAGACCATCATTCATAGCCGCATTCGCATCTGCGGTACTTTGCTGCTCGAGCTCCAGATAAATTTGAGATAGACGGAGCGCAAACATCAGTTTGTCACTTTCAGCAAGACCCCTGCTCACGCGCCGAGCAAGCTCCACGAAGAGCTCAGTAGAAACACTGGCAAGACGCGCCGTTTCTCCTCCTTCGCTCGGCTGAGATAACACTTTGGACAACAACGACAGGAAGAAGTCGAGCGAGTACTGGTATAGAAAGTGAACCGACGACAGGTTCTCCAGCGCAAAAAACAGCCGCGAGCTTGCTCTCGCGAGTGGACGGTAGCGATTCGTCGCGGCCTCTACAATCGCCATCGTCGTTTCTGTTTCTATCACTTGCTGTGTAATCTGGGCAGCTTCTGCTTTCATGCTTTCCAAAGCATTGATGACGCGGTCATCATCTAGTATGTTGCCCTGCACGTTGTTGATTTGCTGCAGCAGAGAATCCTCCAGCTCACGCAGCTTGGCTTGATATTCACCCTGCAGTTTCAGGAGGTTGTTGCGCTTTTCTTCCGCCTCGGGCTGTTCACTTCTGAGCAGAATGCTTAGCCCCTGACTCTCCAACGAGCTCATTGTGACTGTAAAGTTGACAAAAGTCACACGACTGCAAACATCGGGGGAAAAACGACACGATGGGTCTCTTGTAATCAGAAAGAGTCGAAAATCTGGAGAGTAGTCAATTTCCTCTCCTGCAAGACGAATCAAAACGCGACCGCCCGTTTTGTAAAGCTCTCGGTTCAAGACAGGATTCAAGATTGGATCAATGTTCTCTACCTCATGAACCAAGAGGGCTGTACCGAAGCGAATCGCACTGGCCAGCACCTTCATGAACGAGCTGTCCAGAAACGACGTCTGTGCAATTTTCGTACTGGTCTTGAGACTGTAGTACTTCATGATAAAATTGTTCGCTTGCCCAGATGGATCGACAATCAGTGGAAAGCGATGGAAGCGTTGCAGAATAATCGCATTTTCGTAACACAGCTCGTCTGAGGGCAAGTCGCTCATCTGCCACTCCAATTGCTCGTTTGGACGCGACAGGTAATCGACGAAACTCAACTGTCGTTTTGTGCCGATGCCCATCGAGTCCAAAATATCGCGCCAATCTTGGACCAGGATTTTACGTTGCTGGAAATCAAGGAAACCAATGTACGTCAGAAAGGCAGAGGATAGTAACGTGTCTCCCACGAGCGTCTTCATCTGGGTGTCAAAGTCATTCGAGCCGGCTTCCCATCGTTCACTTTCTTGCAACAGGCTCCCCAGTAGCGCGACAGAACGCTCTACCTTTTTGGATACCGAAGCCATATCGTTCGTGATCAGCTGCGCCTCGTTAATCAATGCCGCATATTCGTGCTTCAAGCTTTCGATTCGGATCTCGAGCGCATCAATAGTGACTTTAGCCTGCTCATATCTGGCGCGCAGATCGACTGACTTGTCCACCAAGGTTTGCACCTCCTCTCGCAGCGGTTGGATCTTGTGCAAGATGTTCGTGTAACTCAATTGCGAGACAATCCACTTGTATAATGGGCCACACGCCTTTGATGCGCGATTGACCTTTTCGTAGTCAAACTCGTCAACTTTGTCGACGTAATTAACTTTGATTATGTGCCGCTGGCGAGCTGTCAGCTTTTCGGAATCGAAGTGAACAACCTGGGAGATGAAGTCGTCTTTTCGGATGAAACGACGCAGGTCAGCCCATTCCAGGCTGGACTCGCCTAGCATCACTGCGACAGCCTCCATAGTCATACGCACAGCAGCAGGGGGCCGCGCGAGTGCTCGAATCTCGTCGAGCTGCGCTTTACGTATCGAGTTCACGGACGCTTGAGCGTCCAAGAGCGCAGGCTCGGCTAGAGCAAGATCGGCCTCGACAACCTCTTTCCTCAGCCGGATCTCTTCATCCTTGCCCGCAAGATCAATGGCAAGTGCCTCTGTGTCCCTCTTCTTCTCTTGTGCCTCGTTTTGCTCCTGCACCATTTGCTGAAGCTTTTCGTTAGCTTCGATGTCCTTTTTCCTGAGCTCCTTCTCTTTCAGACTGAGCTGTCCTTGTAGCTCGGCCACTTGCTCATGGGTAGCCTGCAGTTTTTGCACACCAACATTCAGATGAAGCTGTTGATCTTCTAGCTGGGCGCGCTTCTCCGAATACAGCGACACGAAGTGACGAATGAACTCCAAGTAGTCACGGGGGGAAATATGGTTGAACTTCATGTGGCGCTTTTGAAGTCGACGCATGTGCAGGAGGACAGCATGGTGAAAATGGACGATACTTCCGACCAGTACATCTCGAAACGTGCCTGTGGCGATGTGCGGACTTAGCTTCGCCAAGACATCTGCGGCATCATCCGGAATGACAAAGTCCGTAGATCCAGCAAGATCCAGCGTGTTTGTAAACTCAAACGCCACCTGTGCAAGTGCGTGGTCGTTCCAAGTACCGAACCAGTCAACCACGCATCGGTTGAAGAGAGCGGGTGACGTGTTAGTACGGTTTTGGAAGCCGCCTGACGCCGGATTCATCGTAAATACTACGTGCAAATTGCGCTGGACTTGTTTGGTGAAGTAGCGAAACAGCTCATCCTCGGTATTTTCGATAATCACGCCATCACGCTGCACAGCTTCGCGGCAAGCATGCATGAGCGACGAGTATTCGTCGTCTTCGAATAGACCTGGCACTTCACCGGATGCAAGTAGAGCATTCATACGTTCCAGAAAAGCCGAATCAAGCACATTTGACTCATCAAAGATGAAGCATATCTTTTCAGCTTCGCAACCGCATCGCTTCAGCACAATGCGCAGATCATCATCAAAGTTGTCCAACGTATAGTTCGATGTGAGTTTGATTTGGAACACAGACATACCATTCATCCAACTGACAAAGCGAGATAGAACGGTCTTTCCCGCACCACTTTCGCCAACGAGTAGCAGGTGCCCAAGCGGTTGGCGGAGAACGCGATCAATTCGAAGCACATGATCGATCACAGAGTCAAAAACTACGAGCTGGACGTTAAGTTCTTCTTCGTAGAAGACGCGCAAACGGGCTTCAATGTGTTTGCGCAGAAACTCTGTCGTAACTTCCGTGTAACTCTTTGAGAGCCACGTACTGAACAAAATAGAGTGTTGGCCTCCATATTCGACCACTTCTAGAGCTGTGGCGCTCTGAGGGAAGTAGTTTCTCAGGGTTTCCTTTACCATATGAAAGCACCACTTTTGCTCTTCAGACGTCACCAAACGATCCATGAAAAGTCGTAATGCCTCATGGAATACTAATTTGACTAGTGTTTCGACGTCGATTTCATACTCCAATGGCTCAATGGCTTCGTATAGAGCACGCATCCATCTCGATAGCTCGCGAGGACTGTAGATGTAATGCGGTTGCATCTCTGCCGTGAACTTCTTCTGGTTGCTGTCATACACATCAACCATTGCATCGGTAAGCGGCTGGACGTACGATCGAAGCGATGGTGTGAGCTTCAACAAAGCACGATTAAACGTTCCATAGATTTGCTTAAGCGATGGATAAGACGGGAAATCAACTAGAAGCACAGGTGCATGGCGTAGTAGGCGCGGTGAAATCGGGACACGTCCTGGATCTGTCGGTGGATTACAAGCGCCGACAAACTGGATACGCTCCAGCCGCACCCATGTGTTCTTGCCGCCCAACCAAAACCCGCCTTGCTCGATCAATTGCCTCAAGAACGTAATCACACGTTGTGTTCCGTACCGATCAGCTTCTGGCAGATTGATTTCGTCACAGAATACGACAAGCCATTTCTCTGGTGACTTGGGCGCTAGCAGCATTCCATCGGGGGTACGCTTGTACTCACAATATTGAGAAAACGTTTTCAAAATCAGGTCCGGTGAAGTGCCAGACGAAAAATTGAGGCTTGCGAATTCGAACTCAGGAAGCGAGCTGATCGTTGAAGTCAGCGTCATCGTCTTACCACTGCCAGGAGGACCACAGAGAATGAGCGGTCGGTGCTGCGAAAGCCATCCTCGCAACACTTCGACATGACGGATGGTATCCACCGTGGTGACTACAACATCTGTCGCCAACACCTGGTGACTTTCAAGATCCAGCTGAGGAATCGATCGTAACCACTGACGCCACTCACCGTCACTGATATCAACTTCGTATTCAAGCAGACTGCTGTCTGGAGTTGACGACCCGGGCATGGGAAACGTCAGGCGATTCTCAAGCGTCTGCGCCACGAAATCACATAGGTCGATGCGATTCGCAGAGTCCATCGAGCCTCCGAAACCCCACAGAATCGAGAATACAAACCATTTCGGCACAAACCGGGACATCTGGTCATTCGTCATCGGGAAATCGATGTGACCTTCATTGTACTCATTGATGCGAGACAAACCTCTCCCAAGTAACGTAAACATTGACATCAGGAGGCGCAACGCCGTGACTTCCATGATGTGTGTTTGGCTCATTGCCTGATCTAAACAGATCTCAATCAGAGAGGGCATGCCATCCCCGCGGTCGATCAGATCTCGGAGAAGAGAAACATACGTATGAGCGGTCTTCTTTGTTAGTTCACTCTCGCTCGGCTGAACAGAGAATGACGAAACGACAGATGCGTCATCCTGCATTTTTAGCAGATAGTGCTCAACGATGTGGCGCGTCTTGACCGTATCGTGTGAGAACCATACCATGCCACAGCGACTGACAGTTGCGAGTGTCGCGTAGCGCAGTGTCTCGGTTTCCATCATAATCCACACATTTGGAGGAATCTCAAGACGTTCCCCGGACGGAAGTGTTAGCAGTCGGTTATCGTCCAGCACAGAGTTTAAGTTTTCAGCCCATTCAGGGTCTACGTCACCATCAAAAATGATCCAGTGGCGCTTTTCACTTTCACCTCTCACGCTGTTGAGCACTTGACGCAGCAAATGCGTGAACACACCGTCCGTCCATTCAAGCGTCGTGTTGTCGAGAACACCATACAGATGTTCTTTCGAAAGAGCCTTCGGGTCAATGACGTATGCTTCGCCCTTGACACCATCAACAAGTCCCATAGCGCCCATCAACACACGCCACGCACTCGATTTACCTGTTCCAGACGCGCCAACAAGCATCACGCCATGGCGGAGTTGCATGACCTGGTAAAGCTGCAAAGCCTTTTCCACCCATCGCTCGGTTACAACGTAATTGTTCTTCTTTGCCAGCTCCGCAATCTTTGCGCGAAGATTGTTTTCTTCGCTACGGTGAGCCTCGGTGCCTGGGAACACCCCCTTCAACAGCGTCTCGAACACAGAGACGTCATTTGAAACCAACTTCGGCAAAATTGTATCCGTGATAGAACCAATTAGTGCCTTTGTTTCAACCTCCTCAATGCTCGTAAGCCCTGAACCATCTTGTGTTTGAGCGATCTTTCGCTTGAGTTGACCAGCACTCACAAGTACACTCTTGAGCGCGCGGAGCCCGAAATCATAGTGAGGCTGTTTTGACAGCTGGTCTTCGCAGAGGTTGAACAGAAGGACGACTTTTGCAGAGATTTGCTCAGCAGTAGTGATACCCTGGGAAAACAGCATCACCTGTGCGATCAGCTCGCGGTCGGGAGCTACCATTGCAATGCTTCGGAACAATTGTTTTAGGTTATCGGGCAAATTCGATCTTCCAGCGTAGCCTGGGTTCATCGTCACAAAAATACCCACATCAGGATTCAGCTTAACGCTCTTACCGAGCAGTTCGATCGAAGTGCTAGAACTGCTGCCACCCGTTGCTATATGTGAGCTATTAGGCCCCTTCTTGACCTTCAGTGACGACACTCCACTTTGGATCGCCAAGATTTGCTGGGACACAGCAGAAAGCACACGCTCTTCCAGGCGATTGAACTCATCGAAGCAGCCCCAAGCGCCAACTTGACACAGGCCTACAAATATCCGTCCCATCGCTTGGAAATCAAAGTGCTCATCACAGTTGAAGACCAGGACAAAACGACCGAGGTAGGACCCCAAGGCTTTGACTGACTCTGTTTTGCCCGTACCCGCAGGGCCGAATGGATTGCCACCCATTCCAAAGTCCAAAGCCTGAGTTAGGGTTAGGTAACAACGTTCGGTAAGAGGGGTTTGCACGAGCCGCTCACCAACACCGAAGTACTCGAATCCGTAAGCGAAGCTTGCATTGGATATCTGGATTGTAAGCTTCTTGAGCGGATCCGATTCCTTCGCTTCGAAGTAATGGCGCATGTGGTAAAGCCAACGAAAGTCGTCAACGCTTGTGACCCCGACCTGACTCAAGCGTTTGGTTACGCTCTTCTGGTGCACCAGTTCAGTAATCAGCTGTTCGTACTTTTTTCGTACATCGTTTTTTACATCCGTCAGAACACGCTCGCTCAACACGAGTAGCAACTTATCTAGCTGTTCAAGAAGCGCCAATAGGCTACTCCCACCAGCCTTCAAAGTGCTTTCAACTTCGTTCGACCATTGCACCTGGGTGGCAAGAATGACCACTTGGGCTGGATATTTTGACACCCATCCCAAGTACGAATCGAAACTGTCGTCCGCCGGGTAGGAATACACAGCTTGCTCCAAAAGATGCGATAGAGTTACGCGCATTTGTCCCTCCACCTTGCCAAGCCAAACATTGATACGAGTGTCATCGGTTGTCCTAATAGGTTCCTTGAATCGTACGACCTCTCCTTCTCGCGACGCCATTCCCATGATAATGCTCGCACTGCTGTCCATTTCCAACGAGGATATTCCTGCGAACATCTTGGAAAGATGACGTTGAATCTGCACGGGTTCCTTGCTATTGCCAATCATCTCCAGCAGGTCTTCGTCGCCTACAAAGTAGAAGCGAGGAAAGGCAGCTCGTTGGCGCTCTAGGTAGTCACCGAGAGCGCGTTGAACGTTGCCCATCATGTCTTGCTGACGTTCGAGCGAATGGTACAAGTTTGGAATGTTGGCGACATCCAGAATCATTGGCTTGTGCGCAACGCGCTTCATTGTCGAGGTGAACTCATTATCAACGCTTTGAAAACGAGCGAACTCCTTCGGCAACTGCTGCTTGATGTCTGCCGAACCGAAAAAGATGCCTTCGAGATACACCCAGCGTCTTTGGACATCAATCCAGAAGTCTAGGATACCACGAATCTTGGTGAGTTTGTCTTCCCAGCTAGTAGCGAGCTCAGCAAACACGCGATAGTACGGCGACTGCTTCATGCTGCTTAGACTATTGAGGTGCTCGTCAAGCTTTGCAAAAACCTCGTCCCAACCACGGATGACACGGCAGCGGTTTTGATAGTTCACCAGGTCCAGCTGATAGTTGGTCCAGTGGTCTGACACCTGGCGCAAAAATTCATCGAGTGCCATTTCGCCTTGGGCCGTGCGAATGATTGACTTTAGCCGCTCATCATTAACAGACACCTTCGACTCCCAGAAACTGCGCAAGGTCAACTCTGTGAACGGCGATGAAATATTGAGTAGCTGCAGAATCTGTTTCCAATGCCGATCGCGAACAGCATCTGACTTCAATTCCGAAAGCAGGGAGTTCATTGACTTGCGAAACTGAATGATCGATACATAATGCTCGAAGGCTTCGTATTGCTGCACCCGAGAAGGAAAACGGCGCATTTCATCAATCAACTCGTCCAGTTGTTTCCGGACCTTGCGGGGGTGGACCGCAGACCATAGCGTATCTTGCAGCTCGTCAACATGAGTCCAGACCTTAGATATGCTCTTCCAGACCTCATCCAGCCCACATAGCTCATCCATGGCTCTTATGAGGTCACTATGCGAACTACGAATATCGTCCATTGAAGAACCTCCCCCCATACCAGAGACGTACGATATATTCAACGCGTCCAACGCAGCACTTGTCTTGTCTTGTTCAGCGCGCAGTAATTTGAACCGAGTGTCAAAGACAATCAGTACTTCTGTGGCTACCCGAGGTGATTGGTCACCTTGCAATGGCTTCGCATTGTCCCATTCAGCTACTGCCTTGGCAATTTTGCTGTCCAGCGCGCTCTTCTCTTCCATGATCTTTGCCTGCAGTTGCGGAAGCTGACTTTCCATCGCGAGGGTCTTACGCTCTAGCAACTGAATAAATGCTTCCCATTCTCCTTCCACATTTGCGAGCGACGGCCAGTCCACAGAGAATCTGTATCGCTGCTTCTTCAGCAAGCGTTCCCCCTGTTCGAACGACTCCACAGCTTCTTCCCACTGACAACGCATCTGGCGCATTTCTTGGATCAGTGTGATTGCAGCAACGACTTGTGCAGTAGCAGCTTCAAGCGCATGCTGCTCCAGAAGCGTCCGCTTTGACGAAATCGTCGAATAGAACGAATTGATCTGGTCACGAAGAAGATCACCAAAGTGCGCTAGGAACTCGTTGTGCCAAGCGTCATACTTCACATTCACCTGGGCTTGCACTTGTTGGTAGTTAACCACCACAGGGCCAAACCGTTTCGTGTGAAAGACTGCATCAAATGCATTGCGCTCGTTCTTGATCTCGACCAAGATTTGCTGCCATTTCTGGAGGTCTTCTCCGACACTACTCAAGGCAGTCTGGGCGTCCATGTCCCACAATGCTTGGTACCGAAGCCAAGTCGATGCGTATTTTTCCACATCGCCCACCGTGTCGTCCAGCACACTGTATGCTTTTATGATCAGATCCAAGGGCACTTGCTTCAGCGCTTCCTTGAACACAGCCTCTCGTCGCCTAGAACTGGCGCTTTTACGCGGTGGCGGCAATAGAGCTGATACCGCCGACTTTCCGTACAAATTATCATACGATGACGTTTGAATCTTCGGCAAGTCGCACACAGAGTTCAGCACGCTTTGAAGCCGCGCCAACCAATCTCGACGTGCATCGCCAACTGAAGGGTCCAAATACAGCACTTGGTTTTTGAGCAGGATCTGATGAGTCGATAAAGTAAGCCCGGCCTCATCAAGAGCCGCTTGGAACGACTTTTCATCGTGCTCGGGGTCGAAGCAAGCGATCCAACGCCGCAGGAGAGTACTGAGCTTCTTGCCTAGAATGTCGCTGATCAAATCGTTTATGTTCTTGACAAACACATGCAAATTCGCGTACCCAGCCAGGCTAAGTTCATCGACATGCACTTGCACTTTCACCAAAACTGCTTGAGCTTCGCCAGCGTGAAAGTCCGCGTTCGTTCGGATACTGTCCAGAAGGGTGTCGATGTCAGCAGACTTCTGCAGTAAGTTGTCCACTTTGTCGTGTAAGCACTCCACTTTTGTCGCAAGATCAGTGACGTATTCGCCCAGACCGTCTGCGTGCCATCGCATTTCGTTGCCCTTCGAAAATGTTTTTCCAATGCTAGCACGGACGTCACGAACGTATGCAGCCGTTAAGGCTGCAAATATTGGCTGGATGCTTCGACACGAGCGCGTATAAGTCTTGAGACTGGCATCCAGGGACGTTGCGTACGGGTACTTCGACTTCGCATCTTCAGCAATCATTTTAAGCGTGAAAGGCACCCGGTAGCCCAGCCACTCCAGATTACGCACTTCCTTAAACAAAGTCACGATCTGCTGGTTGAATGCGACCACCAATTTCTTCCTTTCGCCTTGTGGTGTTTCTTCGGTGACAATGTTCAGGACAATATTCTTGGTGTCGAAGATCGGCATCGACGCCAAATCACTTACCCACTGATCGAAGATGAGCTGCGGATTAAGTTTCGCAATAAACGCCTCAGCCGCCGATTTCAGCGCCTTGCCTTCCACATGTTGCTCCCAGCCTATGCCTAGGACACTCTCAACGCGCGATAGCAGCATTTTGAGCTTGCGCTCTATTTGCTTCGCCCACATTACTGCACCAGCAATAGGAGGAATATCACGCAGCTTGCTCGTACGCGACGCCTCTGAGTAAGCATAATGAGCACGAAATTTAGCTTGCAGGTTGCTTACATCTTCCTTGACATTTTCAATCAGCTGCATCTGGAATTGTTGGACTGCGCTACGAATGCGGGGACGGAAAAATAGTGCGTTGTACTTGGAGAACACGCGAAACATCTCATCGGCGTTGGACGTAGCACTCAGTCGGCTAGTGAGGCTGCTGATGATACGGCCTTCAACACGATCGATGCACAAATCGTACGCCTTGCGCAAGTTCTTCCATGCGGTCACGCCTTCTCCAGAAATATCGAGAGGGTCCAGTGAATTCAACTGGGAGTAGGCCAAATTGACTTCAGTGAGTGCGTCGTTCGTACCATCACTTGTACGTGGATCATCAAGCCCGACATTATTCGAAGCACCTAGCACCCTCTGGATCACATCACGGAGTTTTTCGTGCTGCTCACGGAACTCATACAATTCCAGCAACCTCTCTTCGATTGCAACGTGCTCCATCTGCAAATCTGCGAGCAACGGAAGCTTTCCTGCACTACTGATTGACCCGCCTCGTCGCTTCGAAAGCTCCTTCGTAAGATCGTAGAGTGTTGCGATCTGGCGGTGCCAGTTCGAGAAAAGCTCCTTGCAGGAAGAGAGCAATTGCACGAACTGCTTGAAGGGGACTTGAATCAGGCTATATACACGCAACAAACTGACAACCTGCTGACTCAGGTCGCTGGACACAACCTCCATGAAATGCAGTAGCCGCACTAGATCGTACGAGTCAGCCACGCGAATCTTTTTCAGGTGCGTAAAGACAAGCGTGATCCCTTGGTTGAGCTGATTAATATCCGTGGCTGACAAAATGGAGTTCATCGGGAAATCTTTCATCAGGGTCATTATGCTGGACACTACCTGAATGGCCGTGCCAAGACCATGGTCCGCGCTAAACGTTACGGTGGCCAAATACCGCTTCGCACGTTGCAGCATCGCAAGTGTAATCTCAACTTCCGGTGATTCGAGCTTCTCCTGAATGGCAAGCAGCGCGCGATTCAAATCGCACCAAAAGTTTATCTCCTGCACTGCTGTGCCAGGGAGCGGTTCATGGATCAGACGCGTGACTTTTTGAATTTCCTTGATCCACTTACTGACCCCTCCCTGAAGTGTATTCACAAAAACAACGTCGTCCACTTTCTCCTCCAGACCCAGTGCTTCCACATCAATCGCCACGCCTTTCTCGCGGACCAAGTCTGCAGCTTGTTGGATCACAGGATGGAAGACCAAGTTCACTTCAGGGATCTCAATGTTCTGCTGATACTGGAGCAACGCCAACTCGAGCTCCTTCATCCGCCGGCGAATGGCTGGCAAGCCTCTCGTGCCTTCACTCGAGTTGCTCGTCTCACTCTGCGGCTGATGCACCTTGGAGTACTCATTCATCAGTGGCGTGAACGACTGGTGCACGTAATTGTACACGACACTGAGGAGATTGCCCCCGTCGCTCGTGTCTTCCTCGGTGGTCTCCCCACTGCTGCTCGTAAGTGTGTCCGCGTCCCGCTTGTCTGCGCTCGCCGTAGCGCCCAGTCCCAGCGTCATCACTTGCAGCTGGTGACTCAGTGTCTGGTCCTTGGCCAGCGGGGCACTAAAGCGCTTGATGAAACACACCACGTCGTGGCCGCTCGGCTTGCCGGACACGTACTCGATGCCCACGTTCACGCGCACGCAGCACGTCGGACCGTCGCCAGCAACGTCTTCCTCTCGACGATCCACTGGCAGACAGTGCACTTGCAGCACACGCGTGGCCGAGTCCGCGACGAATTGCTCGAGCGCGGCGGTCGTGTCCGCCCGGTGGAGGTCGGTCTTGAAAGCATCCACGGAGGGGGCCGCCGAGTCGTGGCCAAACAGCGGCGTGCAGGTGGCCAGGAGGTAGCGCTGGAAGTCCGCGACGGGCAGCGCGTCCGCTGCCGCCCCAGCGGGCGCGTCGGTCGCGCTGCGTTCCATGCGCCACGTGTGCCTCTGTCCTCTGCTCGCTGGACGTCAACGTGTTGAGGGGGAAGTGCGCGATCTGCGGAGGTTGTCCCAAGGTCGCGCCAGTGGGGTCGCGTCCCACGAACTTCCCTCGATCTTGTGACCACCTGTCGCTACGATCCATTGGTCGCGTTGGGTTTGTGGTGCGTCGTGGGGTGAGCCTGTGGCTGTCGTTTGTAACAAGTAGTAGTAGTGCATGGACTACTCGCGACGCTGTCCTGAGGTTTTTTCGTGTGTGGCGTACCACGGGCACCACAGGGCGCAGGGGGATGTGATTATCGCGCGGGCCATGCGACAGCCACTGCCAGAGAAGAGAAAACTCATGTTTAGCTATGTACGCATCGAACTCGCGCGTTCCAGCGATTGCGCAACGACTGGGGCATGAGCATAGGAGGAGGAGGAGGGGGGGGACAACAACGCAACTGCGCCGCTGCTTACTGCTCGAGCTCGAACCGCCTCGAGCGCTCTTCCTACAGCGGCATTCGCTTCTTGTTTTGCTTGTTAATGAGGTTCTTGTGGATGTGCGGGATGACGCCACCGCCGGCGATCGTGGCCTTAATCAACGTGTCGAGCTCCTCGTCGCCGCGGATCGCAAGCTGCAGATGGCGCGGTGTGATGCGCTTGACCTTGAGGTCTTTCGACGCGTTGCCCGCGAGTTCCAGCACCTCGGCCGTCAAATACTCCATGATCGCAGCAGCGTACACGGCTGCAGTCGCGCCTACACGCTGGTTGTTGGCTACACGTTTCTTCAAGAAGCGGTGGATGCGGCCCACGGGGAACTGTCAGTAGCACAACGAGACGACAAGAGAGAGGAAAAAGAGAGAGAAGAGAGATGTAAGTCCATCGTCGTGGAGTGGGGTCAGTCGCATTACCAGTGCACGCAGCAGGAAGTACCTGGAGCCCGGCGCGCTGCGACCGGGACTGCGGGGCCCGCTTGGACGTGACGCCCTTGCCGCCTTTGCCGCCTTTGCCGCCCTTGCCGCCAATACCCGACTACAAAGCGCGAGCCACAACGCCACAAACTCAGTCCCTCGCTCCCTCAGTCCCTCACTCCGTCTGTTGGACACCGCCCGCCCGCCCGTACGTACCATAGTGGCCCAAGTGGTTGAATTTCGAAATGAAAACGAGTCCATCGCAGCGTCTCGCGAGACAGCCCTTGGACCAATCACCGGCCAGCGCGACGCCCGCCACGTCCATCGACCCATTCGCTCTGTGCCCAATCTCGAGACGGCCAGCGATCGGACCTCCACATCTGTCCGACAGGCGGAACAAAAGCAGAACGCTCGGGCCGACGGCTCTCATTGGCGCGTGTCGAGACGCTGCGAGTCGCGATGCAGTCCGCCGCGCGCTCGTGGGCCCCAGTGCCGTGCAACAACCCGTCGGCCGCGCCTCGTCACCGGTCGCTGCACGCCTGTGCTGCGTGCAACGACTCGTTTTACGTCTTTGGAGGTGGGCGCCACTTGCAGTGGCAGGACGTTTTGTTTTTGTTTTTGACAGCAGGACAACTGGATCCTGAGGACACTGTTGACTGTTGACTGTGGCGTTACCTCTTTGTGACGCTGTGGCTCAATGAACGGACGTGTTTGGGACTGCTGTGGTACTGCACTGTTCTGCACGTTGCAGGCTACGACGGATCGAACCGCACGAACGACTTTTACGAGTTCAACTTCAAGCGCAAACTCTGGTCCGTCGTGCTCGCGATCGGTTCTGCGCCGAGTCCACGCGACCGTCACGTGGCAGTGGTCTACAAGAACTCGTTTTTCGTCTTTGCGGGCTTTGACGGCAGCTCGCGCATCAATGACTTTGTCGAGTACAACTTTGGTACGTTTTGTCGACTAGAACTGGGGCAGTGCGAGCGACTGGTATTGACATTGACTGTTTGATGATGAAAACGTATTGCCTGCAGCCACGCAACGATGGAGCAATGTTGTAGTAAGTGCCGGATTGCCGCCGACGGCGCGGCACAGTCATGCTGCTGTCGTGTACGGTACGTTGTCGCGCTCTGTAACGTGTGTTGGGTTGTTTGGTATGCTAATGGGACCTCGACATGGTGCGGGAAATGTTAAACAGACGAGTCTATGTACTGTTTCGGGGGTTACGACGGCAACTACCGAAACGACTTCCACGAGTTTAACTTTGGTGCGTTCGGCTTTGAGCTATTGCGGTCATGAAAAGCTAGTTTGCAATTGTGTGCTAAGTCCTTTCTTGTTTGGCTTCTTCGTTTGCAGAACTAAACGCCTGGTCGCCTGTTCTCTCAACAGGGCTTATCCCTCGACCTCGGTAAGCGTGGATAAGACTTGTTCTGAGGGCATACCATATCGAGCGGCTTCACACCGTATGCTACACCAGATATCGGTCATCGCTAGTGGTGCATAACAACCAGTGTGTACTGTTTGGCGGCCACGACGGGTCCCATCACCTTGACGATATTCACGTGTTCGACTTTGGTACGCTGCCTAACACTCATCGACTTTGTGCTCTGCGAACAAGCCAACTTATGGTTTTGATTGCTCTCCTACCACAGATACGCGCGTCTGGTCATGGCTGACAACGGAGGGGCCAGCACCCGCTGCTCGTGATAGTCATGTTGCTGGTGTATACTCGAATGCCATGTACGTCTTTGGCGGCAGCACGGGCACTGCAGTGAGCGACTTTTACGAGCTCGATTTGGGTGAGTTATCCGAGTTTGTGAATATCGGACGACTGGCGTTAACTGGTTCTGCTTGCCTTGCTCGATTGAAGAGTCGAATACTTGGCGACCAATGCAGTTCAATGGCCAGCCGCCAGCACAGCGTTTTTGCCACGTTGGTGCTGTTTATGACTCCAGCCTTATCGTCTTCGGTGGCTACGATGGAAGTAGGCGGCTGAATGACTTCCAGCAGTTCCGCTTCAAAGAGGAGCAGTTTCAGCTGGATATTCCTGAGAGCACGCTCATCAATGATCTAAGACTGTTGGTGAACAACGATATCATGAGTGACGTGACGTTCATCGGTACCTGCAGCGGGGTGGTCCCTATGTCGTTGATAAAACGCCGTCAGGACTGACTTCACGTACATATGCTCTGCGTACTGCAGTGGAGGGGATTCCCGTTTACGGGCACAAGATTCTGTGCATCCGCTGCAGCTACTTCAATGCAATGCTTACAGGAGAGGTACACTGTGCAAGTGTTGTGACGATGGTGATTTACGTGCTAACTGCAACCGTCTTGACAGATGTTGGAAAGCCGTGCTCGCGAGATTCCGATCACCGAAGTGCGTCGACCGATTTTTATTATGTTGATGGAGTACCTGTACACAGATCATCTCGATGTAGCCGTGGATGTTGCAATGGAGCTGTTTGCCACCGCGGATCGAGTACGTAAGCTTACGAGGTGACTTCACTTCCGCATGTATACTAATATCTTCTTTGGGATCATGTGGAACAGTACGGTGTTGAGCGATTGAAGCGCATTTGCGAAAGTAAAATACTCGAGTCGTTGTGCACTAAGAACGCTGCTAGCATCTTTCATGCTGCAGACCTGCACAATGCCACGTTGCTGCGAGAGCAGTCCATCACCTTTATTCTCAACAACTTCGACGCGGTGACGAAAACCGACGCCTTTGAAGAAATGGGTCGAACCAACATTGAATTGGTCTTCGAACTATTGAAGCGGCGCTAAAGCAGTCCGAGTGACAGCTCTATTCTAGATACGGCAAGTTGTTGGTCATAATGCAAAGCATACTCGCCTTCAATTCTAACACTCTAGACACCTCCTCGAACAAGCGAAGAGAAGCGAATAGCCCGGTAGAAGCTGCTGCAATCGTTGTCGCCGTTGGTGGTGATTCGGGCTCGCATCTCTTCGCTCTCCACGATTTTCGCTGCCACGCCTAGTTCATCCAAGGTTTGGCGCGCCAGCGGTTCCTGCTCTCTCCAAATGAGCAACTCTTCCGGCGCACACGCATCGGGACCTGCTAGCTTCATGGACTGCGCAATAGACCGCAATCGCTCGACAAGCGGACGTTCCCAAACACGTAGGGCATGGGCGAGAAAACGTTTTACATGCGGGCGCGGGAAGGGAATGGCACCCGGTTCACGCTCCGTCTTGGAGTTGATGCCGTGGAAGTCCGATCCACCCATCTGACAGAACAAGCAAGCACAAACGTGAGTACTGCAAAGAAGATGGCTGCTTGCATCGTTGTTACATACTCGAAGCAGCTCCGATTCCTTTGCCAAGGCGCCATACATGTCGACCTTATTTTTATCGTGATAGACTTCGATGCCCTGATAGAGTGTTCGTCAAACAACAACACCTCAGTATAAATCGTTCGACTTTGGAGGTGGCACGAAGTACCTACCTGTATGCCAAGCTTAGCAAGCTCTGGAACCAGCGTCATTGGGTCCTGCAACGAGCAAGATGGGTCCGTGAGGAGACTGTGGTCTAGCAACAACAATTGACTCCCAAGGAATCGTAGCAAGTCTACCTTGCAGCACCAGGGATGGGCAAGAACAGAGACACCGCCAGCGCTAGCAATGAGCTTGATCGCTTCTTCAGGTGGGAAGTGCTCACCCTGATACACAACAATGAGCAACAGTCACGCATTGCCTCTGTGCTATGTCAACGAACAAAGAAACACAATTGCACGCACCTCGGCGTAAGCAGGACCGTCATTATGCAGATACCGCGCAAAAGCCTGGCGAAAGTCGACCACATGACCTCCTTCCACCAGGGCTTCAGCCACGTGTGGTCTGCCAGGTGCTGCTTCGCCTGCAATTTCGAGCACTCGTTCCCATTCGAGTTTGATACCCATGGCCTCCTACCAACCAGTTCAAACAATGCAGTCAGTTTCGTCGCTCGGTCTCATCAACAGCCGCTACACGATGCCACTCACCAACTTCTTGAGCATCGCCTTGCCACGCTTGTACCTCCCTGTACGGATCTTCAGCAGCTGTGCTTCCAATTCGGCACTGTCCGATCCCGGGTAGAAATAGCCCAAGATGTGCAGGTTCTCTCCACCTTTCACCTCGGCGCTGATCTCGACGCCAGGGAACACCAAGACGCCTAGTTTCTGCGCTGTCGCAATCGCCTCGCCCACGCCGGCCATGGTGTCGTGGTCCGTGAGCGACATGAACGTCACGCCATTGGCCGCAGCCTTGGCGATCACCTTGTTGGGCTTGAGCTTGCCGTCACTGCAGGTGCTACGTGCAGGTCACAACGTGCGCAATCGACAGAGTCGTCACAATTGGCGCACCAGCCGACCAGCGACAACAACAACAACAAAAACAACAACAGCGGGTCACGTCCCCACCTGTGCAGGTGAAAGTCCCCACAGGCAAATCCGCCTGTATCAACAGAGTCAGTTGCCGCGTGATGGCAGTGGTGGTCATTCGAGGGGAACATGGCGTCACGGATAACGTCGAGCGAGGCATCGCACGCCAGGCGACGCGCGCCCGCGGACGAGCACTTACTGTTGAAGTTCGCCAGCAGGTTCACGGGCGTGCGCTTGCCGTTCTTCTTGCCGGTCTTCTTGCCGGTCTTCTTCGCCTTCTTCTGCTTATTGCTCGACGCAGCGACCATCGCGGAAGGCGTGTCGGCCGACAGCGGTGGGATTGAGTTTCGCAGGTTTGTGGCTGTTTGTTTGCTCGGATATCGAGTGATAGAGGGCGGACGTCCAATAGGATTGTGGCGATAAGGACAAACCGACCGACCGACCGACCGATTGACCGACCGACCGATTGACCGACCGACCGACCGATTGGGATTTCGGACCCCTTGCTGCCGCATTGAATGCGGTTGGACAATGGCAGCAGTTTGGCCTCAACGATTGAATCCGTTTGGCCTCAACGATTGAATCTGTTTGGCCTCAACGGTTGAATCTGTTTGGCATCAACGACAGAAAGTGTTTATTAGTTACATTATGGTCGATGCTAAGGTGACGAAAGGGACTAGAGGTCGAGAGGCGACCTACGTAGCTTCTCCAAAGGTCGCGCAGACGTACCCAGCAGCTCTTGTGCAATTCACACACGCAGACAACTAACACTGATTGAGCAGTAGATGTTGTCATCCTTGAATACAATAAATGATCGGCATCATGAGACGTTGACAAAAGTGGGCAGACTAATGTACGGGCAGAATCTGTCTACGAGACGTCTCGTGCATACTATGCCTCGTGCACACGAAGTATGAATACAAGAGCTTACTCATTTGCGTCAACGGCTACATACGATACAAGAAGCATCATTTTCGGAGCTGCTTCGTAGCACCTATTGCGAATATTGAGCAGCGGCGATCGTGGCAGCGACTTCTAGGTGATGTCGTGCTACTACCCATTTTCTCATTTGCAGTGCGTAAAGTGCATGGTAGTGCGAACCCCTCTCTTCTGCAATGCTGGCAAGCTGCGTCATGCGAAAAAGCACAGGGCAAATTGTCTTGGCCGAAAAGTATGGACCACCTGTAGCCTTCTCGTTTCGCACATTTACGATGGGGCTATATTTCTTGCGATCGACGACATTACACGTGTAAACACCAGCGTATCTTCGAGGGAGACAGAGTCAGAGATGATAGGGGCCTCGTTATGCTAAGACATCCATGTGAGTATGGAAATGGCCCTACATCAGCAAAACGTGATTCGTGCAACAGCAAGTATCGCGTTACTGGCAACCACAACTTGCATTACACACATGATCATCGTGTGTGGGGTATGTACGTATCACATTTGGAATCAGGAGGAGAGTCCATGTACCGTCGTCCTTCGACAAACGTCAGGCATTTTGCAAACGGTCAGGTGACTGCTGCGGGTCCCGTATACAGCACTCGACAGAGCATCGTGCTCGACGCTCTGTCGAGTGCTGTATACGGGACCCGCAGCAGTCATTTTACTTGAGTCGATGGAGGACCGAAATACTACTGAAACCGACTGGAACCTAACTTGCATGTAAATGGTAATGCTGCTTCAGATTGTGGTGCTAGCGGTATCTGCAGTGATGCTCGCAACGACAAGAGGGGGCATAGCATACATTGCAAGTCCTACGACATGCGCACAACAAAACTATATTGACTCAAAAAAACTGGTGCTTCGTGCTACAGTTACGCGTTTGTATACGACTCTTATATTGTGATGGAAGCTGCGAGATCGTCGTCTTATGAGCTACAGATAGCTTTCGTCGTGCGGTGCCGTCAATGGCATTGGCGCTACACAAAAGTCGTTGGCACTGCACAGCTCTTCTGCCCCTTTATCTCTCACTCTGTATTGCAATCGTACCTACCCACCTATCTACCTACCTACCACTACTTGGTGCAAGATCCTATCGACTGCGTCGACGAGTACATCCACGTGAGGTGCACAAACGAGAGCTTTTTGCAGCAGCAGAACGGTAAAGACACCAGCGCCACGAAACCTGCAAGCGTTAGTGCAACAAACGGCATACAACGAGTGCTCTTGGTATGCTGCACTACGCGTCCACTCGCCCTCTTTCGTGACACAGTTGTCAGATCGATACACCCACACATACACATACACACATACATGTCAACAAGCCCATGTCCCATGTTCTGTAATCGATCCTAAACGATCAGCCGTTCTTATCCTCGAAAGATAACCGAAACCGAAGGGATACAATGTCCGACTTAAGCTCATTCGATAGTAACCGCCACAGCCAACCGACGCACGCGACCGCCGTACCCCACGGACAACATAGCGCGTCGTCATTGGTCAATAAAGCGAACACCCGTCCACGCCACTACATTTGCGACTCCAAGTAGCTAAACGCCGGACGTCGTCGTCGCTGCTGCTGCTGCTATGTTGCGCTCGCGTCTGCGCCACGCCGCGCACTCGTTGCCCCTTAGCAGACGACCTGCGCCTCTCCATTCTCTGCCTCTGCGTCGTCTCGCGCCACTCGCCAGCGACTTTTCGAGCCGCTCGTCGCCTCGCAGGACGTTGTCGTCTCCGTTGTTACTGGCACAGCTGCCGCCGTTCCCGACGCTGTTGCGCGAAACTCAAGCCCGCAGGTTCTCTGGACTGCCTGTGAAACCGTCGACCGATTCAACGAGTACGCACTCGACACCTGCCGAAGCGGCTGCGCTCAAGAAGAAGATCGCGGCCGCAAGACGTCGGCGCAGTAAGATCCGCGTGCAGGAGGAAAAGCTCGAGTCGGCGCTGGAGAAAGGAGGCGAGCGGCGTATGATCCGCGTGCAGGATGTCGAGAAAGAGCTACCCAAGGTGCCCGCGCGCGCTGTCACGTTGCTGAAGCGCACGCCGCAGCTCGCGCTGCAGGGTATCAAGGCTGTCGGCTACGCGCTTCAGGTGCTAGTGACGGACCCAGCGGCTGTCAAAGAGTGGGTTATCAAGATGAAGGGAAAAGTGAAGCACGAGCTGGACCACTACTGGTTGGGAACAAAACTGCTGTACGCCGACGTGTCGACGTCGACGCGTATCTTGCGTCGGTTGCTTCGAGGGAATGCGCTTTCGCGTCGCGAGCGCAAGCAGTTGCATCGCACGGTCGTGGATTTGCTTCGTCTTGTGCCGTTTGCGTTCTTTGTCGTCGTGCCGTTCATGGAACTGCTGCTACCAGTAGCGCTGAAGATGTTTCCTAATATGCTGCCGAGCACGTACAAGGACTCGTTTCAGCGTGAAGATGATATGAAGCGTCAGCTGCAGCTCCGTGTGGCGCTGGCTGGTTTCTTGCAAGATACCGTGAAGGAGATCATGCAGGACACACGCGACACGGAAGGCGTATCTGAGGAGCGCAAGGCTACAGCTAGCGAAGTCATGAGTTTCGTGGAGCGCGCTCAGCGTGGTGAGCCACTGTCATCCGAAGAAACGCTCCAAGTCGCGAAGCTGTTCAATGACGAATTAATGCTGGACAACATTTCACGACCCCAGCTCGTCGGCATGTGCCGGTTTATGGGTGTGCAGCCTTACGGCAACGACAACCTGCTTCGCTTCCAGCTGCGTAATCGTATTCGCCAACTGAAGAAGGACGATCAGGACATTATTTGGGAAGGCCTCGACTCGCTGAACAAAGAAGAGCTCCAAATGGCGTGCATGGAGCGTGGAATGCGCGCCACAGGGCTGACCAAGGCTGGGTACGTTCGTCAAATGCGCCAATGGCTCGACCTGTCCATTAACAAGAACGTGCCGGCGTCGCTACTCATCATGTCGCGGGCGCTGAATATCACTGCCGCGGACAATTTGGAGGAGGCTTTGGCTACCTCGATGTCGTCGATGGATGAAGAGGTGGTCACCGAGGTCGCCCTGGCAGCGAAGGCATCTACGGAAGGAGAAACGGCAGAAATGCGTAAGCTGAAGCTCGATAGCATTCGATACCAGAATGAAATGATTGCGGACGAAGAGAAATTCCGTGACGAAGCTCAGAAAAAAGAGAGTAAAGCGAAGCAGGCTGAAGGTGAGGCAGCTGCGACCCATGCTGCTGCTGTTGCTGCCGATGCACAGACTGCGGTGCAGGAGGCGATTACTGATGTGATTATGGAGAGGGCCCATGCTCAATCAAACGTGGCTGCGTCGACGGCATCAAGTTATGCGTCTGGCGGCAAGCATGAAGAGGAGGCTCCAGTCGTGCCCAAGAGCATCGAAAATATCGTGAGTCTGGAGGAGCTTAGCGCTCTCGAGTCACTTGCGTTCAAGTCGCTCGTCGAGAAGGAGCGTCAGACGGTGGGTCAGCTGAAGCAGAATAAGTACGATATGGATGTCGAGGGTCTGCTGGCGGCTGGCCGCATTGGTGCACAGGCCACGGAGAACAAGACCGCTGGTCGTATGATGAAGAAGCTCGAGACTATGCTGTCCAGCTTGGAGGTAGAAATTGAGGAAGTCGACCGTCACGTCGGCGACCGTTTGAATATTCTCGATCGCGATAGCGATGGCGTCTTGTCCGCGGAGGAGCTGCGTGATGCTGTTATGACCATTTTGCGAAAGGCGAACACCCAGGAGGATGTGGAGTGGGTCATTTCACAAATCGACGAAGACAACGACGGCAAAAGTACGTTGCCTGACTCGGAGCATTGTGGTCTGCTTGATGCTGTTGGATTTGATGCTAACTCTTCGTTTCGTGTGTTTTACAGTTGCTTTGGAGGAGCTTGTTGCCTGGATCGCAAAGTGCCGCGAAAGTCTAGAAGCTACGGGTAGCATTTCTCTGCCACCAACGGAATCAAGTAGCGAAGCCGCGGCAGCAGCTGCAGAGGCTGAAAAGGTCAAGATGGACAAGGCGGAGAAAACGAAGATCAAGCGAGCAAACAGTCGCAAGAAGAAGGAAAAGGACAGTAGCGCTGTCTAAACTTGGTGCTGCTTGTCTGGAATTAGAAGTCAACAATCGGGCTTGTGGTGTTTCCTATGCCAAGCAAGCGTGGTCGCTCATGAGTCGTTCTCGGGCAGCATTGCGTGAGTGATTGCTGGTCTAGATTGCGTCGCGACGGGACTATTTGGAACGGGACATAGCGCTTGTCGGATATGTGGGGCGACGCCAGTAGTAGCACCCAACATTGACGTGATAAAATGAAAGTCAGAGGAATGTATTGCCAGTCGATCTTCATTGTTAGCTTCACGCTGAGTATCTACGATGACGTCGTGACGTTGTGCAGATGATAGCGCCAAAGGAGTAGCAGTAGCTAAACGACAATTGGGGATGACATCGACATTCAGCATCAGTTCTTCGAGAGCACGTGGCTTGAGATCAAACCAGATCCCACTTTTTGCAGACTGTCGCTGCTGCTTCCCTGTTTATGGTCGCCGCATTTAGCTCACGCTTGTATTGCCTTCAGACGCCACGTAGCAATTGGCTCCAACGCATGAAAATTCGTTGTCCATCATGACGAACTCGTGCTGTCAACAGACCGTTTTGCACTGTGTCCATTCTACTACTATAATGCCACGCTATCTCGCTTATGAGGCTACAACGTCCGTCTTGTCGTCAAGAATATCTGCATCAAACGCTTCCTGCTACCCTTCAGCAGTCATGTACCTGATACGTACACGCCCTCTCCTTTTGTATCCCTCACAAGCAAAGCTGACGACAACAAGAACAGTAGCCACTCAGTTTGCCGCTATGTGATAACTCGGTGCGTTCACCTTACCAGTGTCACGCAAAGTCGTCTCAACCTACTAGCTATTCTACCTTTATCAGTAAGCTCACGAAAACATTGCCATTGCTGTGGATCCTTGTCCCTATCTTTCAGCAACTCACCATCGCAGCGGACACCTTCGATTACAGTTTGCCATTACTTTGCACCATTGAATGCTATGTTTCTCGCTTCGATCCTTATCGCGTGTACCCAATAGATCCGTATCGTTCTTCTTGATAAAACGGTCAAAGAGATCGGTGTGCAGTACCACCTCATCATTTTTTGTGCCTGCATTCGTTGTTGTATGGGGCAAAGAGCTTTTTTCTCCTTTTCGTACTTCCCTCCGTATGTCGAAGCTGCTGTCGATTTCAGCGTCGACTTCTTTCAACTGCCCGATTCCGAATATGTTGAGATGAAGATCTAACGTCTCGGCAACAGCATCCATCACGTTGCGGGTCGGGCAGCAGTAGACTATCGTTGGTCTAGTTTGCTTTGCGCCCGGCTTCGGATGCCGTGTGTTTGGTCGGGCGGGACTCATAGGAGGTGGCCTTAGGGGTAAAGCCGTTCTTGTGAAGGTTGTTGTGCTCCGAGAGGGTCTTCTAACGCATATAAACCGATAATTGTTTGGTCAACTGCATTGAATAACTTCGATACATTGAGGAAGAATCGAACCGGTTCGGCAATGGTAAGGCGGTCATTAGACTCGTTCGTGATGGGTGTACTGGCGCAAATGATGTATTAATTAACGAGATGTTCGCCTTACTTGTACTGAATGTGCTTTGGCCATTCGTTATGCGGGCATGCAAATATGCCATAGCAAAAGCTCATGTGCAGTAGCACCTCCGAGAGTTGTCCTGCATTCTGTGTTATCCTCCGATGAGTTGTCCAACCGACGTCCACACTCTTTCTGTGGCCGATCAGTGAAATGGTGAACGGCAGCGAGAATGGGCGACATCACTTTTTCGAATAAGGTGCTTGATACTTTGACTCGTTGCAGCCTAAAACGGATACGTGTAAATCACCATTATCAAGGATATGCGATGTCAAATGAAGAGTCAACGACTCGGAGCCACCAGTCGAGGGTGAACTGCGATCGGCTCGCTGCAAATTACGAACCGGTAATTTCATAGAGCTCGGTAGGCACCTCGATGACATTCTTAGGTTACGCAGAAAGTGAGCAACATACGCCGCGGAGGACGCTGACTATGCGACCCCGAAAACATGTACAAGACGAGGGCCGCATGTTCAGTCAATGCGCATGTACACGCGCATCCTTTTGCGTGTAACATCGATTCGACATGTCTTCGGTCAGCTACGTCCAAGTACTGCCATTTTGCGACGTGATGACAAAGCTGTTCATATAAAATGGGATACCTGACACGCAGCTACATTATCTAAGCTTTCAGCACCTGCCTCACCTGAGTCTCCGTCATCTCATCTCGTCTCCTTCTACTTAACGTCCTTTACATCCTCATCGCAGCTGCCGAGACAGGAGGCTCGAAGAGGGGGAGACTCGCAGCCAATTGTGTAAAAAAAATGTACAGTATGTGGTGGTTGAGATCTCGGTTCGGGTAGCTACCGACTAAGCGATGCCAGTAGATCGGTCGACTATACAGATGTTGTCCCTTTACCTGTACTCTCCACAAAAGATCGCATAATGCAGATCATGGCGGCGGGTACAGCATATCTTAATGCACGGTATGATTTGTAGCGATACCAACACTTCACATGCAAGACGAATATAGAACGCACACAGCAACTGGAAACACTTTGAAGGTGGCGGAGATCAAAGGTAGACCGTACCAAGCGTATACTAAAGAGCTCATTCTTGTGCAAGCGAGTCGAGGCCTTTCCATCTAAGCTGCCGATTGTCCTACTTCACCTGACATATACAATTACGCAGCTATGGTCGGAGCAGATTGTCGTTGGCGTAAAGTTGCATACTCACAGAAACGCAATTGCCTACGAACTGTGGCTGCAACGGGGTGAGCCTTATGCATGTCATTGGCAAAACATGTGTCAATGTAATTTTTTTCGCAATTGACGATATGTACAATTTTACTCTTGCGAGTCAACATCAAAGGATTATAACTTGGCGAGGTAATGTACGGCACCGCTTCATAATTATTTAATATAGACCATGTTATTAAAACAAATGAAGCACCAATTGCTGCTGGACGCGCACAATGGGTGGTGAAAGACTTTATACATCCGAAGATACAGATTTATGTAATTTTAGTAAGAACAACTCGGTTTTTATTGAGACCGCACTGTATCACATATGCTTTTATTGAGACTGTACTGTATCACATACAGTCCAGTCTCAATAAAAACAGAGTTGGTCTTACTAAATTACATAAATCTGTCAATTTCCCCTCATTCTGAGCAATTCTTGCTCATTATGGTTCTCCTCTCTCTGAACGACCAGGGTACGTGATTTTGTAAGAGCACACATTCAATACTAACATCAGCGCAAGGTTCTTATTAGACATCTGGTGAGAAATCGACGTAGAACCATACATCTTGGTCGAACAATTTATGCACTTGGCCGGGGTACGAAACGCGATAAAGGCTTCATCATAAATGATCGTGTGAAACGTCTTTCTAGATACCTATCTGCATCCACGGTCAATTACATTAATGAAATGGAATAGACGTCGTTCAGATTCGAAGCAGAAAATGAGAAAATTGAGCACATATCTTCGATAATTCGTTGCTTCATGTCTCAAGTTTCGGGCAGACAGTCAACGCAGGTAGCGACTAAGATTACGCATCTGCAATAATTGCGGCAAGTTGGGGTATATCCGTATGTTGCCGAGTCGCAAATGAACAGCGACCAGATGTGTTTTTCTACGTTTTAGCTGTGAAAGGTTTAGTTGCGATATAGTTCCGAATATCTACTACTTGCTTAGTCCATAAACGCACCGCACACAAATACTTACATACGACGCCATTAACTGTCCAGAAGAAAAAGGACCTCGACAAGTCGACGAAAAGTCACTACTTGTAATCCCCGGACGTAAGATGGATCAATATCGTAGTCGGCGACATGGCGAACAGAAAGACTCCAGCGAACGTCTACCGGATTACTCAAAACATGCAACTATTATGTATCAGATGGGCATCTCGCACGTGCAAACTATGAAATTGCGAAAATCCGAGTTCCCACGCACACTTTTCTAAACATAGAGACCCCTGTTTACTGGAGATGTATTTAACGCCTTGGTCAAGGCTCAATTTTTAGATTTACGTAGCACCTTGATGAGACTGTCATGTTCGCGGCTTCAGTCACGGCTCTTAACGATCCTTGTACTGCTAAACTGACACCTTATGAGAAATTCGCGATGGATTTAGTTATGACACGATCAACATTTACGATCAATATCCAATTGATGTCGTTGGACCTATCATTTTGACAGAAAACATTGTGTGACATGCGCTGAAGACAAGACGTACAGTAAATAGCCAACAAGAGATCTAAGTAGACAGTGCGTAAAATGATTGTGTAATTGCAAACTTTTGCAGTGGCATCAACGGTCAAACTTTAGCCGCGCGACCGCTACAGCAAGCGCTATTGGATTAATCTTGTCGACCGCATCTTTATTTGATTGCAAAACTATACTTGCAATTATATGGGATAAGGAGGGAATCTTGTTCAAACACCTGATCGTGTGGCTTCAAAAGCGATAAAATACCGTGACAACGTGCTTCGTACAAACAGTGGAGCTGGATACAAATTCTAAAACTTTTCTGCGCAAGCCCTAACGCTACACGACAGAAGACAGATGCATATGATTAAAATTGTAGTGGGAAACAGAGCGAACGCACCGGACAAGTATTGTATGGTCTAATGTATGATGGTATCCTTAACCAATCAAATAAATATCATTGATTTGTGCGCCTCCATCCGTAACCGCCGCGGAGTTAATCCGATCTTATTGGTCCGCGGGCACTAATAAAGTCAGGTCTCGCGCGCAAGAGGTCAGTCAATCCGTCAAATTGAAGCGCACGAAGGCATTTTCGTACCGATGGCGGTAGTAAGAATTGCAATTGAAGGTCCATAATCTCAGGAAACCACTGACTACGACGTACTGCCGGAGTTCAGGAGATAGCAACGAGCGCTTTGAATCGTGACATATGCGCTGGTGTACATGCGGAAAAGCTCAAATCGATTGTGGACCCTTAAAGTCGACCAATGTTTCATCGCTGCAAAACTTGCCCACACTACGTCGTGCGCAGTGGCCGATGCATGTCGACACCTGCTGATTTTAAAAAAGGTTTGTGATGTCTTGGAGAAGAATGTGAGTCGTGTTGGTGTGCTGCAGATTGATGACATGAGCCAGCATCAGCGATCTTCTCGGTTCACTGCGTGACGTCTTGGACACGAAGAAGCGCGCAGACCAACTTCGCATACCTTTCGTGAATCTTGCGCGCTTGCATGAACGACTGGAAACACACAACCTAAACGTGAGCAGATGTGGAAGTACAAAGGAGGAGCTGATAGTGAGATCTCGTTGATTATATCTTGCTATGATAGCGAAAAAGGGCGTCCGCCTTGAGATTACAGTCAATGATCCTTGCATCATCAATGTGTACAGAGGTATTGATGGTGATTAGCGCGTCTTCCGTCGTGGTAGGTAGATCGCATGTAATAGCAAGTGTTCTAGGAGTGGACCTACCCCGTCACTTTTCAGATTCGCCCTCGTAGCCAGACATGCGCAACGTCGACTGTAGCAACGGGAGCGCTTGCGCAATGGGATGCAATGGACCATTGCTGGCCAATGCACCTCTGCCCTGGCTTAAATCGCCAAATCAACAACACATGACAGTGTCGACTGTCACCGGGCGATATGTACACGAGGTAGCGTGGATGCTCCAGTGGACATCGTTCGAACGTATAGTACACTTATCGATGAAAGCCGAGCCGTCCAAGGTGAGCAGCCTCAGAGCTGCAGTCCCTCTAGCCTTGACGATATGATGCAATCGAGCTTCCATGCACATACGCATCAGCTGATCCATTAGACGGCGGCAATTGACAAAGCCGTCAAGAGGATTGACACGTGCAGAAACAATCGCCTGGCTACAACAGCTTCAACCAACAAGAGTGCATCGACAAGGGACAGGAGTTTCCAGGTCTCATAACGAAACCACTATGAATCGCATGAGACTGCGTCGCCGTTCACGGCGTTGTCCAACTTTCTATTGGACCCCAAGTTTAATTCAATGTCTTGTGTGTGTGTGTGTAGCTAGAGATAGAGAGATAGAGAGATAGAGAGGTAGAGAGATAGATAGAGAGATAGAGAGATAGAGAGATAGAGAGATAGAGAGATAGATAGAGAGATAGAGAGATAGAGAGATAGAGAGATAGGTACAGCGATCGGACATCCAGCTGCGGTGTCTTTTTCCAGTTGGATCTTTGTGCATTACCACTGACAGCGTCTGTCCAAACACAATCACATCATAACTCGATCGAGCAGTCGCTCCCCGAATCAGATCCAGGACAGCAGTCGCAGGACGTCATGACGTCCTCACCCCTCGCGCGCCCCACCCACCGCGTGTCCCTCTGGTCCCTCTCGTGTCTGACGATTCTGCTGTCGCTCTCGACGGCCCAAGCGACAGCAACGCGCCTCCCCCTCGACCTCGAGCCCGAGACCTTTTGGACGTTGTCCACAACGACCCAATCGATTGCGCAGGACGCGGTCCAATTCAGGACCCACGTGCTGAATCACGTGCCCGACCTCGTTCCAGTGGACGTGCAGTGCGACAAAGTCACGCGCTGCGACCGCACTGGCGTGTGCGCTATCGTGTGTCGTCGTGGCTCCGTGCAGCTCGACGGATGGCTACAAAAGGCCCTTCGGCTGCAACGGACACTGGCGTACCGGCGCCACTTTTGCGCAGCGACGTTGCCGGGTACACACAACTCGGCCATCAATCTCGCAGATGGCTACGGCGTGGAAGACCACGTTTTTGAAGGCTACTTGCGCTACTTTGCGTGGTTCAAGCCAGGCATGCAAGTGCATACGAACGACCAGCTCTTTTCGCTCACGGATCAGCTGCACATGGGCGTGCGGTTCATTGAGCTCGACGTGCATTGGTGCAATGGGGACCTACGCATTGCGCATTGTGGAGGCTTTCGGTCCAAGTTGCTGGACGGACTGATCAACGTGTTCAACGAGATTGCCAAGATTCTCGGCACTGGCATCGAGTGGGACTCGGAGACAATTGGGTGCAAGCCGAGTTTGAGTAGCATTCCGTCCAAGGAGCAACGGCCGCTCAAGGAAGCGCTGCAGGAAGTAGCGGCGTGGTTGCATGCGCCGGAACACGCAGAGGAGTTCTTGATGGTGTTCTTCGATGACGAGACTGACCTGATGAAGTGGCACAAGGTGGGCAAGCTGCTGGAGTATTTGAAAGCGTACTTCTCAGAAGACGAGATCCTGCGACCAATTGAGCTGACCGTGAGTTTCGCGTTGTATACCCTTTGCAATAAAACGGTGGGGTTGGAACTGGTGCTAACTCTAGCGTGTGTGCTTGTGCATAGTACGACACGAGATGGCCGACGCTGGAAGAGCTAATCCAGGCTGGGAAGCGCGTGCTATTTATGAGTGGTGCGGACTACCTCACGCTCGGAGAGGAGATCTTGTTTGTGAAGGACGATATCTGCAACTGGCAAGAGCCGCCACTGCCTCTTGTCCCGTTTCCAGCATGCCGGTTCAACCGATCAACGGCTGACATTGGGATACCTGACGATGAGTTTACTATCTTTCGCCCTGAAACGAGCGAGATCCAGTACGGATTTCTCAATGCAGCCGGCCAATTTGGTCCCAACAAGAACTTGCTCGATGAGGAATCTCTTCCGGGCGTGACTGACTGCGGCGTAAATTTGGCATCACCAGACAATGTCACTCCAAAGCGTATGGAGGCTACAATTTGGGCGGTTCCGAACGGACACGAGCTCGACCCTACTATGTGTGTTGCACTTATGCGCGCGACAAAGACCTGGCAGAGCGTTGATTGTCAAACTGCCAACATGGTGTCAGCATGTGTTGATGTGGAAAACCCACGCTTCTGGCAGCTTGGGCTTGTGTCGGTCATTGAAGCCGACGCTGTCGACGCCTGTGGTGCTCACGCGTCGCGAACAATGGCGTATTCCGTCCCATCGTCGGGATACGAGAATGGACTTTTGTACGACCAGCTGATTGAGCATGCACCCAGCTCAATTGCGGGCGTGTGGTTGAATGCGAAGACCATTGTCGCTAAGGTGTATGCTGCAGATCGTGATCAGGCTGCTGCCCTTCTTGGTCAGTACGCCAACGAACTCACAAAGGGCGGCGTAATGGCCGTGGAGTAACTATTCAGAAGATGTGAGGAGGATGACTACTCGGATTTGTTTGTGTGGTGGTAACAGCGATACAGACATCGCGCGTGTATGAAAGACAGCTTGTAATGACATGGCACCGTTTGTTTGGAAGTAGTCGGCGTTTCACACTCAGAAAAAAGAAAATGGATGTGTGTGTTACGGGATCCGTGGAGATAGAGCTAGCAATAATGGCGCGCGTCTGGTCTTGAAGTCAGCGGTATGTCGCGCAAGCACTTGCTACTGGACGTCGACGAGCATCGACGACTAGTTTACGGTTTTTGGGACTGTTGCCTTGTATGTGGTGTTGGGCGTCGGGAAAAACTCTTTCGCCGTGGCGTTTAGCGGGGGCTTCATCTCGCTGTCGTCGTTCTCGATTTCGGTTGCCGCAACGTGCGTGTCGTTATCATCCGCGTTTTGAACCGATTCATCCCGTCCGCCGTGGTCCATTGTGTCGTTCTTTGTCGTCGTTGGAGGGAGCGCATACTTCTTCGTGTCACGGCTCTCGTCCGTACCATTCTGGCATGCATGGTCAAATCGGTCGGCAAGTTCGCGCACGTCGAACTCAACACCGACGTACGTCAGGTTGCAGTCAGCATGTTTGAACGTGAGGATGTCTGCAATCAGCGTGCGGCATTCGTCGGAAGTACACATGGTCTCAACTTGCTTTTTCGTATCGTCGCTTGTGGGTGAAGTCTCGGAGATGACTTTCTGGCACGAATGCAGGTGCGGGTCAGCGTACAAGTCGCTGAGCTTTGCGATCGTGGCAGGCGGACAGCTATCATCGACGGCAGCTCCGCAGGCGGTGAGCAGGAAAGAGAGAAAAAAGCCGGACTGCATATTGGATACGAAGGTCGGTGCAGTGGAAGACTGAAGGAGAGAAGGCTATTGTCCACTTGGGTGCGAATTGGAAAGTGAGGAACTTGGCTTGCTTGAATGCCTGTTGCGGCCGTCACTCTTCTCGAGAAGAGACACCATTGTTTCATGTCCTGTCGCGGCTGGGGAGAACGTGTGAGAAGAGAATCGCGGACAGGCTGAAAAAAAAGGCATCGCCGGCTTGACAAATATTTGGCTCGAGAAAGTGCAGGAGACTGAAGGACTCGTCCATGAAGTAGATGTTTGCTGATTGATTCAGGTATGGCATCAAGCTCTTCGATTTTTGCTCCGAACGCTTTTGCTGTGCTACGAACGCAGTGGGCTGCATAGTCGTGCATGCCACGAAGCGCAAGGGGAGCGGACGAGATCGCACAGACGCTTCCACTGTTTAGAATCGACATTTGATCGTGAGTTGTGCACCATATCGCTTGCATTTCTTCCCACCCAGATCGTGTTCTTGACGTCTTGTTTACTTTGTATCGCTCTGGCACTCCAAACAGGTTCTCGGGAACCATGCGACGCCTATCTATCAACTAGTGGTGTATACTGACGGTACGTGCCTCTTCTCAGCGCCAAGAAGCTGCTTGGGGTATGCGTGAGAAAGCCTTTGTCATAGAACTCATTCTTGCTATGTGCAGTGGTCGCCTTTAGTCGCAAGCACTCAACTGGGGACGTCCTATGCTGTGTCCCAGACTCCGGCACTGACGGTCCAGTCCGACCAAACACTTTGGGCACCGCCCGGAAACGGTGGTGACAGAACCGCTTCACTTGCCTGACAGCCTGGTCTATCGCTCGATCAGTGCAACGCCCGGAACATTTCATCCACGACCTGCATATCCCGCACAAGTCCTTCTATGCTGACGACCGTCTCACGTATCAGTGCATCCATGTCGGCCGTACCATAATCGCTGTAGCTTTCACTAGTGCGATCGTCGGGCATACAGTGACGTTTTCACGCGGACCGCAGACTTGTGGCCCCCATCTCGCCGCATCTACGACCGACGACCGCAGCGACGTGCGAGTTCCAGCCAGAAAAGCCGGAAGAAGTCGGCCCAGGCTGCACCCACTGAGCTCTTGACGTGGAATATGTAGCCAGACGTCAAGTATGTCGGCCAAGCACCGCGTATATCGATATATCCGTACGCGGTCGGCGACCGACTCAAATGAAGTCAACTCAGTTGACATCTCAGTGCTGTGCAGTGCAACAGATGCGCTGGGTGAGCTCTGTAACGAGCCACTGTGAAGCGGATCATCGACGGTGACAAAACTCACAATGCTGCTGTCAATCGCGTCTTCGATTTCAATGGCAAACAGCCCATGCGGTACGTAGGACGCGTCTTCGAGAACGTTGTCAACGAACGCTGTCATCAGAAGAGAACCCCCACACCGCTTGGACAGCAGCATCGACCTCCTCGTCAAGAACAAATCCCCCACCCACCCACCCGCCCAGCTACGGCGACACGGCCACTGCGGTGACATGCGCTCGAGCACTTCGGCCCTGTCACGTGCGCCTCGCGTGGCCCTTCAGCTTCGCGCGCGGCCTATCGCCGTCGAGCTTCTCCTCCACGTCCTGCACCAATAGCTTCACGCGCTCGACCGACGACGTCGAGCACGACAGCGACTTGTTGGCGATCGTGATTTGATGACTCAACGCGCTGATGTTGAAGTTGTCGCGCACGATCGTCTTCACCAGCTGCTCGACAGTGTCCGTCGCCTGCGCACCCACATGTCCCGTCCCACGTCCCGCACGTCCCGCAGGCGCACGCGCACAGCCCGTGCTGTGCTGTCCGTCCGCTTTGCGCTGCTGCGACTGCCGCCGGAGGACAACTTCCTCGTCGTACTGATGGGCCGTCGTCTGGAGTCGGTCCATCGCCTTCGCCAGGCGTCCCATCACGTCTCGGGCGGCGTCCGTGGCCGACTCCGATCGCTCCCAGCGCGTCACCAGCTGATGCGCCACGTGCGGCAACGCCGACGCCGCGTCTTTGGCCGCGCGCAGGTCCGTCCGCAGGTACGCGACGGCCGTGTGGACAAAGCGCCGTCCGTGGCGGCTGTCGCAGTGCGCGAGGCGCTTCTTGAGCGACTTGAGACATGCGATCGCGTCGTCGGCGATGCAGCAGAGCACTGTGGCGAGTGACGCGAACTCGCGCGCGGCGGTGGCGCTGGAGCCATTGACGGGCGGCATAGGCGTTTGTGGGTGAAGTGGCGCTGGGCAAAGCTGTATTTGCTATGCTGTTTTTAAAGGCGCGGCGTCCGTTGCTGACGCGATAAGAGGCAGCACTCGGATCAGCGACATATTGTTGGCATTGGGTCATATCGCAGCGACGGTACGACTGGCTCCAGCCCGAGACAGTCACCGACTCGGTGTCGAGTCACACGCCCTATTTTCCCAAATCGTTTTAGCGCCGCACTTTTCATCAGTGCGGCCGCAATGTTCGTATGTCATGCTCTCAAGCTCAAGTTTGGCCAAGTGGTGCTCGATGATCTACACTTGCAGCTTCATGAGGTCGCTCGTGCGAGAAAAGAAATGGCGATGTGATCTGCGGGTTGAGTGGCTTTGCGCCTACGCGTACATCGGCTCGAGTTGACAGCAACTAACACTTAATCGATGCGACGACGTTGTCGGCAATGGCGATGTTGGTAAACACGGATGGATGGTCATTCTCACGTCACTTTCTTTTGTAGAACCACCACGAACGCGTGACACAACGATCGCGTTTAAAGGAATGGCGGACCTTATGAGTGTGTCCCTCCCTCCACCATCCTGCAATAACACTGCACATCTTCAGTCGGACTTTGCAAGCTATCTTTCGGACGCATCGTGTTCCACTGAGTCCGTACTTGCAACACGCGGTACCGTGCTTGATATTCTCGCTACGTCACCATCAACATCGTGTCGACGCAATGCTCTCACACCTTCATAACGCTTCTGGTGCATGTACACATATCTATTTCTCGTGATCCTGCATCTCTCGCTTAACGTACAAACAACAGATAGAACACCAACATATCGGTGACTGCCAATGCCGCGATGACCAGGTAGAGACAGACTTTCTTTCGCCGCGAGCGAGTGGCCATCATCTGTAATACGCGACGCACTTGGCCCGTCAAGCCCGAGGTCTCGGACACTTTGTCCTTCATGTCGTGAAGCTGCGAGTGCTGCAGTTCCAGGTCCACGAGGACGTTTTTCGCCATTTCTTCCGACTCAGCGACAGTTCGTCGCGTCCGTTCAATATTGTCCGACGTGCGCATCAGCGACCGCAGACTCTGTTTCATCGTCACGTCAGTGTCCACAAAGACACACACACACACACACACACGCACACACACAAACACATACCCCCAAACAAAGTCGTTAGTCTCCGTGTCCAATGAGATTCACAAAAAAGTAGAAAAAGTGCTACTTCCCCACCTCATCTGCCGTAAAAAACGTATTGTAATTGTTCCTGTTACCGTCGGCCAACGCGGGTCCGCCACCGGTCACAGCGCTGCCATTACCAGCCGCAAAGATCCCGCCACTGCCACTGTGTGCGCTTGACATGAGTGCTACTATTGGGGTACCTCCCGGCGTTGGTCAGAGCCGCTCACTAAGGGCCGACTTTTGAAGCTCTAAATGTACATAACGTTCTGTGACGCTGTGTGTGTATGTTGTGCGGGAACGAGTGTTTTCGTGATGTGGTGTACACCATTTGCACACGGCTTGTCCGCATGAGCTTTGGCAAGACGAATTACCGCGTGGGCGGCACACGTGGCGGCGCAAATGGTACGGCTCCGACGACTCGGTTGCCCTTTCTGCACCTCGTAGCTGCTTGCGGACGGAATGGACTACGAACGTGTGCTTGAATGGTCTTCTAACTCTCTCTCTGTCTCTCTCTGTCTCTTTCTGTGTCTCTCTGTTGTGTTAGAATTCAACTGGGAAGACGTCAAGAACGACAAGTACCGGGAGAACTACTTGGGACACTCGGTACAGGCGCCTGTGGGTCGCTGGCAGAGAGGAAAGGACTTGGCATGGTACGCTAAGGCCAATAAGGCACAGCGAGCTGAAGCGCTGCAGACAGAGTTGATGCTGGCCAAGCAGAGAGACGAAGATCTCATGAACGAAGCTCTGTACGTAGGGCTCGTGGTTGCAGTCAAGATACGATGGGATGCGTGGACATGATGCTGCAGTATTGGTTGTTGACTATTGCTCGCTGTTGTTGTTTGTGATTGTTTGGTCTTGCTGTTTACGATACGACGACAGAGGTATTGCACCCAAGAGACGTCACGTAGCTGCTGAAGGGCTAAGTACGTCGGAAGTAAAGGAGCTGCTGAAACGAGGGGAATCCAAGCGCGATGGTATGGACGTCGAACGGATTGAAGGATTGGGTGCAGCACCAGTAGAAGCTGCGGGGTTTACGACAGGACCAAAACGCACGTTGGCTGAGAGGTACAAGGATCAACTCGCGAGTGGGAAAGCAGAAATGACTTACGCGCTGCCTGGTACTGTCGGTGGGCCGCTGACAGAGAAGGAGGAAAAGGCTGAGAAGAAAAAAGCGCGCAAGGCGGAGAAAGACGCACACAAGAGACGGAAAGCCAAGAAGAAAGAGCGCAAGAACGAGGAGAAATTACAGCGCAATAGCGCTCGTGGCTCCAATGATGACGGCGGCACAAACTCAAGTCATTCGCGGCATGACAGGAAGGACAAAGCTACAGACGTCCGCCCGCGGTCTCGTTCTCGGTCACCGCCGAGTTCTTCCGGCAACAGCCGAGACGCGGACGGACGATCACGCACTCGAAAGCGACACCGCAGCGACCGTTCTCGTTCGCGGTCTTCAACCGATCGGCGCAAGTGTACGAGTTCGTCCAAAAGGTCAGAGCCGTTGGATTCTCGTGGCCACGCGCGGTACCCAGACGATCTCCGCCGCCGCCACTATCGATCGTCGTCTCGATCTCCTGCTCACAAAAGACGTTCACGATCTGTTTCGCGATCGCGTCACCGCTACTAGCCAGGACCGTCTCCCAGTGTACAATCGACGTGGTATTTCTCTTTTGCTTCTATCCTCCGGTTGTTTGTCAGAGCAGCCATGAAGCTAGCCACGTCAGCTAGCTGCCTGGTCGGTCTACCCATCGGCCTACTCGGACTTGGACGTCGTGTGCGCTTTCTTCTGACGTCCGCAGCGCTCCGAACTGCCATCCTGGAGCTCGAATGCAGGCAAATAGTGGCCTTCTTGCCCGTCCTCGCCTTTTCGCCAGAGCTCTGGGTTCTGCACCGTGTCAAAGATGTTGCCCAGCGAGGTGTACCCATGATCGTACAGCACGCAGTATTCGAGCTGACAGGCCCGCAGGAAGCTCCACACGTCTGCGTACGTCCATTGCAAAATCGGATTCACGCGCAAGAACGGCGGCCACCCAGGACTGCTCGGCGAAAAGTGCTCCATGTCTTCCGTGTGCGGATCGCCTCCTCGCACGCCCATGTAAATGGCCTTGATCTCGAGCGTCTCCAGCATCGCCTTGACGCCCTCAACGAACGAGCACTTGTACACGTGGCACTTGAGCGCATACCGCTTCGTACACGCTTCGGTAAAGTCGCGCACCTCGGGGAACTGCGCGGACGAGTCAAAGTACATGACCGGCACGCGCTGCAGCTGTGCGCGGACCCGCCGTGCGAGCTCTTGTTCGGGCAACAAGTCGGCCGAGACAAAGCCAGTGCGGGGCGAAGTGACCGTCGTGCGGCCTTGAGCTGCCCCGTGTTGCGTCAGCTGCGCGTCCTCGAGCACGCGCTTGGCGACGACAATGCGGAGCAAGTGCAGCAACACAGTCGAGTCTTTGCCGCCGTTGAAGCTAAAGCACACGCCCTCGAGGCCGAAAATGTCAATGGCGCTGCGCATGACGTCGAAAGCCTTTTGCAGTCGCTTTTGCATCGCTGCGTCGGCGCCCGCGAAAAAGCGGTCAAAGCGCAGGAGCGTCGCCCGCACGCGCAGGGGGTCGACACTCATGACACACGTCGAGAAGCAGTCGACGGTTGGGGTACTGAGATAGAACAGCAGCAGCAGCAGCAGCAGCGGCAGCAGCGGCTGTAAGTCGACTCAGTGCTGACGTGGACGGACTCAGATATGCGCTGTGACGAGCGGATACCAACGGCTGACTGGCTATCAGGAATAGAAAAAGAGCGGGTGGGGAGAAAGAGTCAGTGAAGGCACAAAAGAGCAGACTGTTTAATGCTGAAAAGGTCGGCGCTCGGAGCTGCGCAGTTGTATGGACTTGGATGCCTCCCCCTCCGTTCGGCAAGTTTGGGTTCGGGTAGGCGCTCGGTCAATGGCCCGAGCGTACGCACTATGGGTCGTTGTGGTGCGACGAGACGTGAAACAGATGGGGTCTGTAAAGGGAGAAGCGGAACGACGCAACCAAAAGCAAAGTGGCCGCTGTCCTAGCCTTCAGACTCTAGGCAATGTAGAAACAAACGCAGGGCATCGTGCCGAGAGCACGCGTTACGTGCTATTTCAGGCTCAGCACACAAAGGTGACGCACGCACGATATCGACTTCCTCGGGCCCTCTTTGCGCAAGTGCATTCAGCGCTCTCAGCTTGGAACAGGAATGGGAACGAGTGTTGGTCGATGAGGCGAACGCTTGCTTTTTCAGCACAGCTTTTTGGCACGGCGACACCATCAACAGACCAAGACAATGGAAATGGAAAGCAGATATACATCATATTCAAATACGCAAAAATGTACCGAGGAAGGAGTGCTCTAGGCGAACGAACGGGCGCTCTGTCCGTGAACCATTTGTTCGTAAAACAAGAAGTTGGCTTGTTTTGTCTACTCTCGATCGCCATCCACGCCAAATGTATCGGTTTGACTCGCAAAGGTAACTGCGTCATTTCGTCGGAAGAAGCAACACGATCGATGCTATAGATCTTAAGATACCCGACTATATGACAGTCAGATGTGGACACAGTAGCTTATGTGATACTGTTGACAGCTAATGTAACGGGGCACACCCTTGCGTAACTTAACGCAAGGGATTTGGGTGCCCCGACGGACGTACACGTGGCGAGCGAGGAAGCGTAGGTAGGGTAAAAGTAGAACTGTTATATTAATAAATTAAGTCTTTAAACTACTGTCTCTTCGTTTGACTTAATTCAATTATACTAATATAACTGCATGTATGGTGACGTCTCGTCACCACTCATTGCGCGCGTCTTGCGGCGATTGGTGGGTTGATATCATCACGATATCAACCAATGAACAGACCCTTTGGTCGACCCTTCAATATCACCACTTTGGTGATATTGTTTAAAGAATATCCATCTTATATTCTTTATTGTCACTTTCCTTAAGTGACAATATCATGTAACGGGCTGCCCCGTTACATCACCCCCCCCTTAACTGATAGTCACCGTGTGACTATCGAAATATGGAGGCCACCCGTTGGCCACCATTGGGACAGGGAGCACTTGTTTGGTCCGTTCCACTCACTTTCCGCTTGACCTCGCATAGTTAACATGTCTATGCGAGGTGACTCAAGACCCACACAGCCTGGTGCTGTGCAAGCCTCTGCGGCAGACGCTTCGTCGTCTGCCGCCCCTTCTTCGCCTGCAGCAACAGGTGCTGCAGGTGCACGCGGTATCACGCCGCGTGCGCACGATGACCCCGATGTGGAGGTCATCTACTCTGGCGAGTCAGACGTGTCTGACTCGGGCAATGCTCCAGAGGCGTCTCGCTCACCGGCGACGCCTCAGTATTCGCCAAGGCCACTGCCGAACGAACGGACTCGTGATTCGCATCACAGTCTGTTCGGCAGTGATGACGATGATCAGGGTGGTGAGTTCTATTCTTCACCACCGCCGGCTCGTGCGTCTTCGCACGAGCGTGATGACGATGGCGCGAGCCGTCGTCAATCTGGGAGCCGTGGTACCGACAAGGGTACCACTGTGAAGCGTGATGAGTTGAAGCCGTGGCGTTTGCCCGAACAACTCATCAATAGCCTGTCTCACGAGACAGGCCAACACCATCGAATACCCTTATTCGATGCGACTGAGCTTCACGGCTTGGATCCCAGCGCGAAGAACTTTCGCGCTGAAGAAGACTTTTATCTCGATGTCTTCCTTAGACATCGATGGTACAATAGCAACCAAAAGCGTGACAAAACATCGCTTTTGGCTGCGTGGAACGCGTTCGTCCAAAACGTAAAGAATTTTGGACGAGAAGGGTGGCTCAAGAAACTTGAGGCAACACGCCTCAGGTTCGAACGGCGAACGCCAACCGGTGCTAGGTACCGGTTGCATTGTTTATCGAGTGAGGCAGGCATTCCTTGCCTCACATGGGGAGACCCTTGTGCGAGTTGTGTTGACAACTCGCAGCGTGCACATAGGGATGTGTACTCCCTAAATTCGCCCTGGGGAAGGGCACATCTCTCGGACGAGATGCGTGACGCGATTGCAAACTTGCAATCCGTCTACAAGCGCCTAGGGCGCGTGTTTACCGATGGGCCACAGGACTCATCGGATGGGTCTCGTCATACTGGTGGACGAGACCTTCAACATCCATTAACAGCTGAGAGCGGGGCTCCCAGCTGTTCCAAGAGGGTGGATACCCCCGCCACTGGACGAGGTAGCTCGTCCTTGATCCTGAATCGTCACGGTGATTCAAGATACGCTCCACTAGAAAGCGTTGATCACCGTGAGCATCCACCAAAGGATGTGGTGGAGGAGGAAAGACCTCCTCCAGAACCCCAGGCCCACCATCTCGACCCTTACGAGATGGATCGCGCAATCGATGAATTGCGCGATGACTTGAAGCACGAGCGCGACCGACGCTACGCTTTGACCGACACCGTGCGGAAGAACCGCAAGGGTCACGAGGCTGATCGGGCGAGGGATCGTGCCGATTATGCCACGGCGCAGCTTCAGGTCGAGCGGGATGTCCGCTCCTTTTCGGCGAGCTGGCGACAGCTCGCGGAGAGATAACTCGGTTGAATACCGAGGTATCATATCTGCGCGACCAGACGGATCGTCTGGAGCGCGAACGCAAGAACTTGATGGATGTTCTTGAACGTGGGGGCTATCTTCATCGGAAGAAGAAGGCTCGTACTGACAGTACGACCTAAGCCTCCCCACGTAAAACGTAGGATGCGTGCGCATCCTACGTGGCAATTCGAGTGTGTATGCATTGCCCTTGCGATGCAACACTCGAAATGGCCCAATGTATTTCGGCAGTAGTTTACTACTGCCGACACTAGTGACTGCATGTCCAGGTAGGTTTACCGTTGACAGTAGTACTAGGTCATTAACCTTAAATGAAAGAACATTTGCTCTTCCATTCTTGTCTGCGTTCCGTTTCTGACGGTCCACCGCATTTGCGATGGAGTCCTGAACGAAACGGACTACCGCTTCTCGAGTCAGCAGGAAGTTCTCTGCTGACTCTTTGTTTTGTCTAGCAGTGCGCTTCGTGCGCACTGCTAAGAGATTGCTCTCTTCTTCAGCGAGGTTGTCTTCTTCCTCGCTGGCATAATCGTTGGCGATGCTGAATATACCAGCATCGTCATCATCATCCGAATCAATAATAGCGTCTTCGCTATTATTGAGATGATCTTCTTCATCGATGTCGACTTGATCGACATCGGCATCATACGTGACGACGTTTGCGTCGACACGTGATGAGCAAGAGCCAAAACGGTTTTTGCTCGAGCGAGTCCCTCCCCCCTTATCCAAGAGTCACACTCTAGAAGGGTGGGCACACGTGGATGGCGTAGGCCATTCACGTAAAACGGTGTGTGCTGTGTTGAAGCATGCACCGAATTATTGATGGCGAATTCCACCATGGGTAGGAATTCGCTCCAACTCGGAAACGAGTGGACATATCCTCGAAGAATCTCTTCGAGGACACGGTTCGCACGTTCCGTCTGACCATCTGTTTCTGGATGGTCAGAAGTGGACATCTTCAATCGTGTTCCGAGAGTACGGAACACGGTTTGCCAAAATTCCGCCGTGAACCGAGGGTCACGGTCGGATACGAGTTCACGGGGTAACCCGTGGAGTCTAAAGACCGTGTCTAGAAAGACACGAGCACAACCTTGAGCCTTGATTGACTCAAGGACAGCAGCAAGATGGACCATCTTGCTGAATCGGTCCACAAACACAAGAATACCATTATTCTTGTGAGCGTCTTCGGGAAACCCGAAGACGAAGTCCATTGAAACGGACTGCCAGCACTCTGTCGGAACAGGCAGAGGCTGCAATGGCGCACGGGATGAAGGACTAGGCTTCACCCGTTGACATACTTCGCAAGCACGGATGTACTTGCGAACAAACTGATACTGGCGGGGCCAGTAAAAGTCGCGACTTACCGTGAGGTAAGTCTTTTCTCTACCACGATGGCCGCTTGTTGGGGCATCGTGACACTCATACATGATGCGCAATCGCAAATCATGATGAGCGGGTACGACGACACGAGGCGTGTCGTCGGCAACAGCTGTATAGTACAGCAATCCGTTGCGTGTACTATACCGATCCGATGAGGATCGGTACAAAGCCGGTAAATCCCTCATGGATTTACTGGATGGATTCACCAGATGATCCATCAATCGCAGAAGATCCTTATCTTCCGCGTATGCCTTTCGTACGTCGTCAAGTAAACTTGACGACGGGACACTGACTGACAGTGTCGCAACAGTGGGCTTGTCCTCACTGTTGGATTGCGCGTCCGGCTCGAAATCGGGCCGGCGCGAAAGAGCATCCGCGACGACATTGAGTCGTCCCGGTTTATACTCCACGGAGAAGTTATACTCCGCGAAGAAAGACAGCCACCTCGCCATTCTTTGCGAGAGGTGTGGGCTGTTTACGGCCGTGCGTAATGACGCATGGTCCGTGTAGACAACAAACGGTCTATCTCCCAAGAGATAGACGCGAAATTTAGCCAGTGCGTATTTCATGGCAAGGAGTTCCTTGTCATGCACTGGGTAATTACGCTTAGCTGCTTGCAGCTGACGCGATTGATA